CAAACCAGAAGACAGCCATCTTCGGACCAGCCACCGTGAGAACAAATATGTAAAACAGCCTATAATTGGAACTTGCTCTGAATTAAGATTGATGCCAGACTGTGCAGATGAAGTCTTAAATAAAAACTCTGACCACTGATGTGGTACATTTATGGGTTCCGAAGTATTAAACACAAAGTTTAATACCATTCATTCGCCTAGTAGACGTGTTTATAACATGTCAGCACGCATTTCACGTGTCAAGTTAACAATGATTCATTGCTTAACGTCACAGCTCCAAAATATACGCGCCGTTGCCATATTGTTAAGTCTATTTCTCAATTACCAGAAAGATGCGACAACAAAACTTGCATATTTTTCGAAGATGTATCACGATAAAAAAACTGAACCCCGCATTGCAAGAGTTACCGCCTCACGAGTCGCAAGGCAGCCATTTTGACATTGGTGACAGTGTCGTATCAATACGGGGAATTATGTAATGACACTGTTTTCATATCGAATTTGTAGAAATCGTTACTTAGTGTCTGTAACTTTCAAGCACATGATTCAGTCATACGTAAGACATAATGACCCAGCTCACTACCACAGTTCAAATTTTGTAAGAATCACTCAATTAGTTCCAAAGTTGAAACGGAGAACACACAGACAACATGCAAATCTCATAAACTCGTCTTATTTTCCTTCTATGAACTAATCATTACGCAACTCTAAGGACAGTCATACAAATAACCTGTTTATTGTTGTTATTGTACTTAAGTTTTAATGGAGAGTAATAATGGCCGAGTCTTGAAACACACACTGACGATCATTTATAACAGTGAACATCCTAGCGTTCACGTTCACATGAAATTAGATTCTTTGACGTCATGGACAAACAGAAGGGTTAGCCGCACTGTAACTACGCACAGAAACGGAAGTATGCATGTAAAACGGAAGCGAAACTTGATCCTCAAACCCCGAAAACATGACAATTACGCGATAATACAGCTTGTCAAAACGTTCTACTTATAGACACGGTTGCAATTGCATTCAAAGGATGATGCCACAAAGTTAAGGGTAACTAAATTTATAGTAGGTTTTTAATTTTAATTTAGTCTTAAGCTGCTTTTTAGAAACTGGAGGTTTAAGGCGGTGTTCACTAAAACCTGTCACTGGACCCTAACTGAGTCAGTTAAATTCAGTGCACACCTCCGCAAACCATTTCCACAATAACTGTTCAGAGATAATCCACAGAGGGCACATGACTCCAGGCTCCTCTTGAGTTAATTAGTGAAAATAACAGAACAAAATACTGAAAACACTGGCATCCGTTAGGTTCATTTAACGATGTCCGCATATATTTCGTATTTTCTCTATAAATTTAATTCTAATCGAGCAATCTTTAACCAACAATTCCTGAACCAAAATACGACTTAAATGACAATGATACTTTGTTCTAAGATGAGATTTTTAATTCTTACGGAGACGAATATGAAGATGACTGTCTGCTTTTGAGCTAGGATGTTTGTCGTATATTTTATATTTAACTCTTGCTTATTTGGGTAATCATATATTCTAATTTCGGTCATGAAGTTACTTGCATTTGCAAGGTCATTACATTACATAAAGGAACATGGTACACCTATTATGGCTCTATTTTATTTTAAGTTAGTCCATGTGAATTCCTGAATACGAGTTATACCATGAAACAGACATTCGTTGTCTATACTACCCCCTCTTCACCCAGAGCTCGTTTCAAAATCGAACATCATTGTCTCCATAAGAACTCTATCAGCAGAAATTTTAAAGTATTAGTAAATGTACGTAATGCGTGAATTTAAACCCCTAAGGCATTCAAGTAAATTTGCTGATAAATTATATGTTTCGTAGTTTACTTAACTGTTCAGAGAATGCAGTGTCAGTGGTTAAAGGAAAATCAGAATTGTAATAACCGAAAAACAGTATTAACAGAATTTCTACCACTGATTATACGTCAGTATCATTTTTTATCTCAGTATGCGAGTTTAATAGTTACGCTCTTGAATTTTCTGTGAACTAAAGAACAAAATACAGCGTATTTTTTCATAAAAAATCATTTTAAGAGTACAAAATGAAAGAGGGCCGACATTTAATTAAGCAGTCAACATAAAAAAGTTATTTTTGCAAAACGTTTAAGTTCCAATGGAATAATAATATTTTTATATTTGTACCTGTAGATTCATTTTAACTGACGTAAAACCATCCATCCATGTACACTGTTATGTCTATTTAAATGTCACTGTTTTAACACCAATTGTATTCGTCTGGTAACACTAAAAAAAAAATAATTGAAGCCTATGGGAGAAGAACTGGTAATCTATACAAAGATTCGAACCAGATACCTCCGGTGTACAATTATTATCACTACACTAATCTGTTCCGCGCAAGTGCGCTGAATCAAAGAAGTTGACGCTTTCCACACACACAGTTCTCTTCAAGCTGTTCGTTCAACACAATTTGAGTATCACGGATCAATTTGGTGTACAGCTCCGAATTAAATTACAATGTGTTCGGTCGTTTCATTAACTACGATATCGGAATCACAGATGCAGTTTATATAACATCGATACCGTTTCATTGTTGATGTTGACACATACGGTATTATTTCGCACGTGAATGCATGTTATCAAGGGCAGACACATATTTTTCAACTTGTGCAATCCTGACTGTCTGCTGCGAGTCACATGTAACATGCGGACCGCGTTTATTTCACCGCCGTCTTAGTAAGTTCATATTACTGCGACATAAAATTTCAAGGAGTAAAACTATACAGCAACTTTATCACGCGTACAGGCAGTCTTAAATAAATTCTGGTTCCAATCAGTGAAGGGTATTCCAATCTCGAGGCCATTATTATTTTAATAAGGCTTTTAATTCAATTTTATTACTTCAGGCGGTTATTTAGAATCACACTTATGTTAAATCCTAAGAAGTGTTCAAAAAAGTGCTATAACATCATCCACCAAGCAGACAGCCATTTTGTTCAATGGTGTTTCAAAAAATAAAATTTTATAGTAATTACTGATACTTCTTCATATATCCTCTGTATGAACACCAATATAATGCTATTACTCATTGCATGTTTTCTTACAAAGAATGTTGATTAACTGAAAATCAACCTCCCTTCCCCCCACCATGGAACTCTATTTAGATACGTAACTTAGTTTAAGAAGTATAAAACACACTGCCATTTGTTTCGTCATAAAAGTTCAAAACTGCTTTGTATTGATGGGGAACAAAAGTTTTTAAACTGTAATTTGCCATAGTCGATTTAAGAAATCCATTTAACACCTTACAAGACAACGAAGCTGACTCTGATATTCTGATTACTGGTATCGTTAACCTACACACAACTCAAGTATTTTATTTGTATGTTGAGTTCATGAGACGTTTCATTGCGAAAACAACGTTATTTCAACAATGGACAATTCTGGCTAAGGGGAGGGGCAGTTATATGTAATGTTCCACACTGACTACAAATTTCTCACGTGTTCCAACAAAGACGTGATGTTACATAAACCCGCATTCGATATACGTATCGCCTGTTTAATATCACATTAAAATATCTGAAGAACAGACACAAAATTTAAAAGCAAATGACCATATTTCTGAAATCGTACACGGTGATTTAGATTTTAATTCGTGTGCACTTACTTGACGTAAAATACAAAACTTGAAGACAGATCTATTTCCTTAGAAGCGCTCGTGATATAAAAGCAACACACCTTTCATTTTATTGTCGCTGTTAATCGTTTAACGACCATCCCCACCACGTAACGGGCGGATGACCACATTCGGAATAGTTTGCACCAGTCACTACCACTTCGCAGGGGCTCCCCATGGGATGTTGCGGGACATGCAACCCGGCCCCTCTCCTAGAAAGGTCAATATTCTAAGAAAATGTAGTTTAAAATAGTGTTGACGGTGTTACATACGTGCTGAGATTGCCGCTATTCCACCGCTGTCACTGGGCTGCCCACCGATGGCTGAATGCTACCTGTAAATTCACCAACCGACTTCTTCACCTGTCCACGTCAGGCATACAGGGAGGGAAATGGCTCCGCGCAAAGCACCTGCAGTGGAGAACAAAACCTGATGACAACGCATTCCCTCTCTGTAATTACCTCCTCCACCTGACTTCAATCTACCGACACAAGACAGCTATAGTCAGACAGACGGTTATCCAGTCAGCCGACAGCAGCGCCAGTGATCAAACACATGGCGATTTGTGCGACGATGACGTCATCAATGGTCAGCGTCTTACGTAATTTTGCAGGGACATATATTCCATTTTCCAAGTACACTAGCATGAAAATATCTTTATTCACTTGAAGGTTGATAAGACTTGATGAGAATCAAAAACACGACTTGGGGTCACAGGATATGCCAAAAGGTCAAAATTTGAATCAAGATTCACTTCATGACATCAAGAAATTCGAAATACTAAAATTGAATGCCGGATTCTTTCATTACTGCGCAGGTAACAGAAACTACATACATGAAACTATTCAAATTTTAAAACAATATTACTATTACTGAATTTATGGACTTTGCCCAGTGCCTGCTAATCTTAAAAGAACAGTTTCAGAAATAATCGTTTTCCGCCCTCTGGTGAAGGGACGCGCGAATACCTACCCATTCAATTCTTAATCCCAATAAAAAAAATAACGTTGTGTTATCTAATGTATAGACAGTTTTGTTTGTATGCATGATTTTATATATCAATACACTGCACGGTATGCAACGTTTTAAGAATAACAACGAATACATATGTATATTTTATCAGTCAAATGTGCAAAAAATAAGAACCCATTTGAAATTCATCCTGATGAACTGTCAAACAGGGAAACTTCACTCAGCGCGTAGCGAGTACAAAAGAAAGACAAAACACTTTACAGTGAATTTTCGAACGCTCTGTATATAAGACTGAAATTGTGTATAGTGCACTGACTGCCGAGAATGAATGTGTGATTTTATATATTTCAGTTCCACGTTATTTTACTAACTGTAGGCTATGGGTAGCTATATTTACCATGACTGTCTCAGATGATATTTCCATTATTCATCAATTCAATACACTTCCTAAAAAACAATGTATTTTAAGTTTAAGTTTAAAAAGTAGTACTGGTATTAACAAAGGGTCTAATGTTTTACGAGTGCAAACATGATTTTATTCGTTTATCTAGTTTTAGAAGTTCCTTCCTTCACGAACAGAAAAAAAAACCACATCTAAAATGATCGGACTGTTTCGATAATCAAATATGACGTGAGAACGTACATCTGTGGTGTTATATCCCATGTGTGATATAAAAGTTGTTCGGACATTTAAACGTATTGCATGAACATTGCGATGAACGTGGCAACTGACACCTCAGAATATAAATACTGCAACTGCTAAATATTCGAGAAATCAATATTTTGATTCTGACCATGTGTTCTTCTTCTCTGTCTCTCTGGAAACATCATGAAATATTAAAACGAACCGTTACCCAGAACCCAGTGTCTAGGTAGCCATTCTTCATTGACATGACCTTCGTCTTCTGACACGCATTCATAATCACCAGTAAATCTCTCCTTTGACATAAACTCATGGGTTGGCAAAAGTTGCAAAATAATCACCTAAACCAAGTACGTTAAAAAGCTGTTGGCATGGTTCATTTAAGGTTCCAATGGATTAAAAAATGTAAGAATAAAAATCACTCGTTCTATTAATAGACGTATTTGTAACCGCCAAACAAATTTCAGGAAACAAATTGAAATGATTCGTCAGCTACTATCCAGGTTGCACAGTCAATATGTTGGCAATTTCTATTTCCCTAAAATAACAAGCTCCCGCTACCACTATGAAAACAGTCCATGTGGAATTTGTGTTGGTCAAAGTGGTTCTCGGACAGGATCTTCTCAGTCATACACACATTCAATGAATTTGAGATGCTCCAAACTCAATCGACCCGCCACCATTTTGCGTATCTGAATCATGGGAAAACATATTGCGGTGCCATCTGTTAACTGTACGCCACACTAGCTCCCCATCGTAAACACAACACACTGAGATCGATAATGTTAATATTTCGTATTATAATGTGTATAAATCTTTTTGGGTCACGCTGTATTTGAAGAGTAAAACTGCGGTTCATTTAAAACAGATTATACATTATATTAAAGGTTACTAAAGTAAAAATATAAGAGTTTGTACAGTGGCACAAATAAGCCTACAAAACGGGTAACATCCTAGGATTAATTTTTGGCTTTTCTGACGACGTTGTCTTTCAACTGGATAGGCTATACAGGTCGAATAACTGAATGAACTAAAAATAAACTGAAAATGTGTGCAAGGAAGTCATTAAGACAACAACGTTTCATAGGTCCTTGCTGCCTCGCCCTGATGATGGAGGCGGCAAGGACCTCTGAAACGTCGGAAACATTCTGCCAGACAACAACCCAGAAGACAGCCATCTTCAAACTCACCGCCGTAAAAACCTCAAATCCTGCTTATTCTGAATAAATCAGTAAGATGCTTTATATTTATGGAATAGGTGGATATAGAAAGAAATATAAATCTCAAAGCCATTAGTCCAGAACGAAGAGTTAACAGTTTCCATTGGGAATTTGAAACGACATAAATCTTTAGGTGTTGGCAAAACAAGTGGGATTAATAAAACCAGAATGCCCAATGAATTTTGTATGAAATAGTAGACAGTCTTATATACTCGTAATCTTCGCAGTTGAGCGGACTTCTGCCAGAAGAGTCAATCAGACATCTTATGAAATAAATACAGCGAACGTCTTTGTAGAGCGTTTACCATTCTTTCTTCGTAATCATAAGAACTCTGGTTCAAATCTCGACCACCATTGACAGCGTTGTACGCTAAATTTAATACTGCATTAAACCTTTAAAATAATTGATATACGTCAACAAGTTGCTGTTATGAACCATACCGATTAACAGTTTATTATTTTGATGAATTATTTTAAAGGCGTTCTTTACTTCAATAATGCAGTTCAGTAAACGCACTTAAATAAACAAAACAATTAATTATATATTATGGGGCCCTACCGGGGGGGGGGGGGGTCATGTTAACCGTTTTGTCCCAGTGAACACTTGAAACAACGAAAAAGTCTTGTCTTACTTTTAAGATTCTGTAGTAGTTTGTGCACTGGAACACAGCGGAAGCGACCCGATAAAATGCATCGTTAGCCAGCTCCAGCCAGCCAGGCGTTGTTAGCCAGTTAGCTGAGGTTTACGCTTGCCCTACAGTCTTGTAAAAGTTGACCGATGTTTCACAGGTATTTATTGTCTTCATCATCAGGGCAATGAATATTTTGCTGAGATTTCAGGTTCTCACGGTGGATATTATGAATATGGCTCTTTCATGGAAAGTTGCGCTGAGTTGACGGACGTTTCTGCCTCCATTGTCAAAGTAAGAATTTCTAAAACGTCGGCAAAATACTACAAGATTACGGGTATCAACATTACAGAAGACAGTCATCTTCGTATGTCATACTATTTCAATCAACAAAATGGTAGTTTAATATATTTTCTTTTGAGAACCACAAAGAGGAAACAAGGGTGCAGTTGAGAAAACATACGTTTCGGCACATCCTTATAAAGCGATGCCATTTTACTACAAACAAGGGAGCGTTTCGTCAGATAAAGGTCGTCAAAATACCATTCACACTAGTTGACGTCAGAAGCGGCCGTTCCATGCTTTTCCGAATGTTTCTTGAACTCTTCCTACTGATAAAAGCGTTTTGGTGCAGAACTTACAATTGTTAAAAGATCGCGATTTCAAATCCGACTTGGACTGGCCAACCTGAGAAAGAGTATTCCTAGTTTCTCCCAGTGACTACCAGGATGGCACTTCAGAATGGCCACAATCGCTATTTTATATTTTCCCAGGTGGATAAAATACTGCCCGGAAAACATTCAGGCCGGTGGTAGGTGACGTCAAGATATTATTATCATGCTTGAATATTTGTAATTGTTATGGAGATATTAAAATCCAACATATCAACTTTCGCATGTCATTTATTCTCACCAGAAGTAAATCCATTAAGTTATTCATTACAATTATGAACTTCTTAAACATTGTTCATTTCTTAATTGTAATTATACGCGATGTTTCAGATACTGGAATCTGTCTCGGACATCAAAAGCCTTCAAGTTTAAGTTACTTATTTTACGAATATCATGGGGTTTTCTCAATTAAAAGAACACTGCTTTTAATGCAATAACAGAACAACCATCGGTTACTCAAAGTTCAAATACAACGGAGGGGTAGTTTCAGTGTGACGGCTTCAATTCAGTCATCCCGTCCTTGGTTAGAATTCGGTTATGAAACATGGCGTGTTGCGCTGAGTATTGATTGCAGTCTAGGTTGTGGGGGCAAACAAACAAATTCCAGACAGATATCTATGACAGACAGACAGCAAAAGACACGCGCCAACCCATCCACCCACCCGAACACAAGAAAAACATGTTAACAACATTCGTTGAGCTGAACACCGCAAAACATTAAATTATCAACTCTTCTAATCAGTGAATCCACCTCGCATCCTGACAACCTTCTTTCTTAATATCCAGCCTTACAAGTCGCTGATCTCAAAAGCGGTCTCTCAACATACGTAAAATAATATAATCATGTTAACCGTGTTAGCCTGGCTGACACACTGAAAAACGTAAAAATAGTCTTCTGCCTTAATCTCTTGATTCAGTGGTACGCCGTACGTCGGAACACAGCTTTAGCTTTGTGGGGGGGGGGGGGTGAGCAGCGTCGGATGTTGACAGTTATCCATCGTTCCGGCAACCATTGCAATTGCCATCTTCAGGGCAAGTTTATAGTGGTTGGAATAATTTCGGAAGCCGTATATAGGGCAGGCAGTAGGCGGCGAGTTGGATTTGATGGAGCGGGACATCGGGCTGTTATCAAGTATCCCTTTTACTCTGCAAAGAATTCTTGTAATTTTTGTCATCAAATAAAAATATTTTCAAACATTTTTAAATTATCAGATACCTACAGTTATCTTGTGGTATATTTTCCTTCTGCAACCTAGTCATGTATTTAGTGTTTCACTCTAAAGTTTCTGATTGGACTAAAATTTAACTTAACTGATGATCAAAACTGTGATACCGAGATGGATGTGAGGCATGTCGCACGTCTCAGGGGCGGTGATTAGTGACGTATGGTAAAATGGTGAAATAGTGACTGGTGGGGAAAACAGAATTATTTGAAGGAAACCATATCTTGGTGTCATTTTGAGCACGATATATTATGGGACTGGATCTGGGTTACTATGAAGAGAGTGTAAACTGTGTGACACTGTGACATCTAAAGGTTAATGAACAAAAACATCATTAAATAAATTAAGTAAGAAAGGCAGAAGGAAAGAGAGAGAGAAATACAAAACAGCATTACAGGCCTGTTTCTTTTAGTTTTAGTTCAGTAATAAACTTCAGAATGAAAGGACAAAACAAGTGAAAACACTTGAATAAAAATTTTAATTCAGAGTTAAGCAGTAGTACGGGTAGAGACAAGAAGATGGCAAAGCAGTCGTTGTTGTCCAGAGTGACTTATGTAACCGCCAGATAGCGCAAGCGACTGAAGTAGACCTATACTACATAGTATGCACGTGTTCGATTATGCTGTCGAAATAAAAACCTGCAACAAAATTGTTATCATTACGATTTGAAGTGATCGTTGCATCAGAAATTAAAAATCACTGTTACCATCAATGCATTTCAAAATTATGTGAGAATTAGGATTTTCGGGGCGGCGAAGATGTTGGCCTCATCCGTTGCAAACACGTGTTGACTCGTAGGTTGATCTCAACATTACGTACAAAAATCCCTGAAGATGTCTACAGTATTTTTCCCAAAACATTGGTATCTGCCTACAAGTCAACGCGGCGATACAACGCAGAAGGTCAACATAAATTTCAAGAATTTGTTTTGTAAATTAACGGATATCCAGCAAAGAAAATGAGGATAATGAACTTATGACTAGTGTCAACACCAAAGCTGAGTAGGAGATAAATATATACTACACATTCTTACGATACATAACAATATCGGAGTTCTGCGTTGATTTGCTTAACTTTTATTTCACAAAATCGTAGTTTCTTGAACAACTAAATACGAAATAACTGCTCAATAAAGACCCTGTACCGTGGACTTTTCAGTTCACTGACTATAGCGTAGTTAACTGATTGCTCGATTCAAGTACAACAGAAGTTATGAGTGTACTTGAGAGATCTTGGATTAAACAGGAAAGTAACAGTAACACCAGTCGTAAAGAAACAGGGTGTAAGGGTGTGAACTGGACGCGAACACACGGACAGAGCTCTTGTGAACACAGCAATGAACCTATAAGTCCCATAACAGGTTAGGGAAATTCTTGACCATCTGAGCAACTATCAGCTTCACCAAAAGAACTCTGATCCATGGAGGTAGTTAGTGATTTATTGTTTGATTAACGCCCCTCTTTCAGTTTCGTACATAATATATTTGGTGCGCAGTAAAAAGGGTTTAGGCGAAATGTACTTTGTACAAATAAGACTTCCACTGGGTAGCATGAACGTGTTAAAGAGGAGGATGATTGTAAAGTGTAAATTGGATAGCATATGAAAGGAAGAGATCCTAGTCTATTTCATAGCAATAGCCCATTATGTCCTCCCTAAAAGTCTTTGAGGGTGGTCGTGTGTTAGCACTTTCTTCCTTCTGGACTTCGTCTACTTTTCAAAAAAATGTTTCAAAACTCTTAAAACCTCAAAAATCATTATGTTTCGAAGAATGGAAGGAAGGAATCCAATTCAAATTATAGAATTGAAATTCCTCGCGAGAGTCTTACCTATCGCCCTAATGATGGATAGAACAAGCACCTCTGATTCGTCGGTGAACTTATACCAGACTACACGGCGCAACACCCCAGACACTCACCTTCAGTCCAATTCCAAATTCTCAGTTTCCAACAACATGGACGAAAATCAAACCGTGACACGGCATTGGAAAGTTGAAGGTTGTTGTTGTTGATGATGATGATAACTGTATAGAGTGATATGGGATACATCAACATAACCTTCCTACCCATTAAAAAACCCGAAGACACTGCATAATGCATTTTTAACTTGAAAGCTTTCTTTTAAGTTTATGTTGTTAGGTCTTGTATTGAGAATCTGTAAGGCAGAGAAACATACGGTGTTGGCTGCCATTACATATTTACTTAATTCTGTATTTACGCGATTGTGTCTAATGCTTTGCAAAATGTTCTCGGGGTCTGACCTCACCTACGTCAAATGCTGTTAATTACAAAAAAAAAAAAAATACTATGCGTGTCGCTTGGCTATCCTACCCACGTCGCGTCTACACGATGCTTTAACTCCAGCATTTCTTTTTTTTCAGTGACCCACTTTAGGTGACTGTTATATTGGTAAGAAGAGGAGTGGAATTTTCAGGTATCGAAATCTTGGTTGAAGCTCTTCTATTTAGGAACTCAGGTAGAAGGAGCTGCAAGCTTACGTATATAAAATGTAGCCCAACGATGAAAGAGCGCACATGTAAAGAAATGCGAGACAACAGGAAAACCATTCTGGCTGTGCTTCTCCATACCACCACCAGAGGGCAGGTTGCGCTGACATTACGTGAATTGCGTCCCCCACAATATACCTCAGCTAGCCTCATACCCGTGCGCTGTACGAATGATAGCAGGAGGCAGCTGGACGCCAACAGTCTGACGTGTGATATTCCTTGCGGTGAAGTGATTCAGTCAGTGCAAAAGAAGCTTCTGTGTGGTTGTGATGGCAAGCTAAGAACACCGTCGTAATTCAAATAAAACGCAAGGTGAGGATACCATATGCAGGGTTAAAACAGACGAGTTCAAGTTCGTGGAAGATCAGGGTAGGGGAAGAGGGGGGGACTATGGAGACTCCAATGATAGTATAAGCGCGTAACCAAAAAATATACAAAGACAACGCATTGCAGCTAACCGAGAATGTACGGAATGTGACATAAGTAAACGAAAATGTAATATGTTCCTCAGAATTAGCTATAAATTTACCGATTTTAAATTTTTTTTACGAAAATGTACAATTTACAATCGCAACTTTAAAATAGATGTGAGTAATACAGAAAGAGTGAGGAAAGGACAAAGACGGTAACGTAAGTACTCAGTATAGCTCCACACAATGTATTTCTAAATAGAGCAAGCAACTGCCTCCGCAACGCGATCTCTTCTGCCTGTTCTGTTAAATACCTTTGTTACTGACAAAGAGAAATGCGCACGAGTGCTTTATGTTTGGTTCCGGAAAGGAGAGACTGTAGGCTGACGAAATTTGCGTATTTTACCGATAAGTTAGAATGAATGTAAGAGACATGGACGACAAATATCCTACTTCCTTGATTTGTGTTTGAGGTCAGGCGACTGGTTTTCTCTCCATTCACACCTTGCTCTCAATGAAACTCAGTCATCCAGGGGCATGGTCACTGTAGAGCCAACATGTATTCTCATACATACCAGACATACTTTGTATTTAATACGGATTTAATACAAATTATATACTAATTATGTCTCATTTTAAACTTAAACTTCGACACTAAATGAATCATACTTATAAACAATGTCGCAGGTACAGAAATGTATATGCAGCATATATGTCTATATCCACATTTTTCAGTGGTATTCTTTAAATGAAAGCTTTCCCACTAACCAATTTTCCAGTTAACTGATCCTAAGCACGTTTTATCTACATTAGACGTGAGTAAAATTAATTAATAATTCCATAAGTCTAATTATATAAATGTTTAAAAGGGGAATATGTGCAAAGGCCACGCCATAAAAATGTTATTCTTTAAATCCTTCTGTAAGTTATACCTGTAGCATATGAACCATTAGTCTGAAACACGATCTATGTCCTTAGCCTCGCCACACGCGTTCCAACGTTGCGATGGCTACGAACAGCTGATGTTATCAGAACTATGTATCACAACTCCACAACTTTGCATAAGATCCAGTTTGAACTGAAGTGATTTTCAAAGCATGAAATGAAAATTAAATACTTTATGAGGGATTTAACATGGTGGATGTCCGAATGACGTTGAATTCCAATCCACTTTCGTTTTATACCCAACCTTCGGTGGTAACAGAGCTCTAAAGATATTTGTAGGCGATACTAGAAAAGTTGGTATGTTTCCAAAACTTTCATTCGTTTAAAACTTAGCGATTACAAAACCACCGTTATGATTCGCGGATTACAGTTCTAATTGGCATTTACTGCACAAGGAGGTATTCATGGAAAGAGAGCGAAACACATGTTCAGAATTGCGGAGGCACACCAGTGGTTTATGGTGTGAGAGATGTTGGACCATCTGGTTATATTTGCCCGATTAGTTATAATGTTAGTCAATCGTTTGGTCAGATTATAGTGTATTTTGACGATGTCCTATTTCGTAATGTTTAATTGCAACAAACTTGTACTGTTTTCTAATATGCCTTTATATTCAGTATTAAAAATTGCTCTAGTCTACTATAGTGCAGTATGCATAGTAAAATATGCTAGAAGTTTTAGATACTTCTAAGTTGTAATGTGCACAAAGAATAATTTCCAAGAATCTTGAAAGAACATTTTACTTTTCAATATTTTTAAACTGATAAACCAATTTTGTACAGATTTAGTCTGCTTAAAATTTTTAATGACTAAATTATATTTTAATTCTTACAAATACTTTATTATATACATTAAAATTATCTTCATCCACTCAAGAAATGAGCTTGGATCTTATAATTTTGATCTATAGTATTTCAGTAACATTAATAGAATATGGCCATATTCAAGAAAGATTTATTTTATACAAGGTACTCCTATTGATTTCTTACAGTATTATTCATCGATATTCTATTAACAACAGAGATTATTTAGCGTGGAATAAACAGCTGTAAGGCACAATCCTGGTGGTGATCTGGGGCAAAGGAAATCCACGAAAACCCTAACTCAGGAGAGAGCCTATGTTTTGGCCGAAATTCAATCAGTGTTCATCGGAAAACAAGCCAGACGGGTTACCTCATAAACTAAAGTACTTGCTTTTCTATACAGAGCCAAGTGACCAAGAAAAGGTCTTCTTGAGAAGCAAAATTTCCCACAGTTTGTGGGGCCATTTACGGAACTTAAAGCCCCAGTGTTAAATAGTGTCAATCACTTGGCCCCATTCTGAGCTAAATGCATACAATTCACACCCTGAAGCCCTAATACGCATTCTAGTATCATCCTCCCATCTACGTTTAGGTTTCACAAGTCTACCTTTCGGTGTTACGGCAAACATTTTGCAATTATTTATCATCACTCACCCAGCGTATCCTCCTGGATCTTAACATTTTAATATTTCGTATTTGCTGAAGAGTGGGCCTATAAATAATGAAACTCCTCGTTGTGCAATTTGCCCCATCCCCTCTCTACGTAAGACCCAAGTATTACCCTTAGCATTCCATGTTCAAATACTCTTAATTTATGTTACAGACCTACCCTTTTGGAGAGATACAAATTTTCACATCCTTACTAAAAAAAAGCAAAATTGTTTTAAACTTAAAATTGTTAGGTGGAATATAGGAAAGAAAGAGTTTCTGACTTTAATGTCAGCAAACATTCCCAGGGTTTGATCTGTCGGTAATGTATTCATTAATAGAATTTTGATTTATTACTTCCATTACCAATTATTTGAAATTTTACTCATTTTCAAAGGATGTATTACGATTAGATACGAGGCAAAAAATGCGGTCAGTACTTAGTACGTCAATAAATTCCAGTTGCTGTTGGTATATTGAAATGTTTTAATAGCACTATTAAATTTCAAGATTTGAAGTTATCACCGTGTGAAGATGTCGATGGCGATTTTAAGAGTTTTGACGCCTCCGCCAAATCCAAAATGTCAATAATGTTATGTTGGCAATCGCCTACAAGAGCGTATGGCGTCACAACCTACAATCCACATCGTAAGAATCAGGGCTGTAAACCCACCGAAATTTTTGAAGGATTAACCGTGGATGGAACAAGCGCTTAAACGAGAGTCACCTGTATCTTGACGTTGACCCGGAGATACTGAGTAAAACTAAGAGAAACTTAAGTCAGGGTAGCAAATACCCAGGCATAGATTCGAACCAGATACCTCCTTAATGCAAGTCTATAGCGCTAACGCAGTAATACCCTGTTCGGTTTCAGGTGTTTCTTGCCTCGCTGTAGATTAGATTCACAATCCAATCCTTTTATCTCCGGGAAATAAACCGTTACATGTATTAAATAGGCTAGATGGATGGCGACAGAGCGGAACTGTGGAACGTGGTGGTACAGAGACAAATTCCCAGTGGACCTCTCTGGAATATATTCTACTTTCTCTCCTTTATGTTTCTGAGAATCTCACAGGTTATGTATGGATAGCAGTTGAGATGTTAAAAAGCGGAATTTATGTTCTCTTATCTCTCGATCGAATCTCGCTAAGAAACAAAATAGGTCTGCATTTAACAGCTGGCATTCTGCGGATTTTGCAACTGATCAGCCCTTGTAGAAAGGATGATAATTCGAGACATTTTCATTTAAATAAACCTTCTTTAATTAATGCGCTTCTATACAAACACATCACTTGCAACGTTACACATTAATAAACAGCGTTAACTGCTTTTTTTAATGATCTCAGATACAAATAAATCCAGAGCAGATGAGCTAAGGCTTTTTAAAAAATAAATCCACGTAGAGCGTAAAAGGATTTATCCTGTTTTTTAAAGAGCCCATTGATTTTTTATTATTTTTTAGATTCAAATTGGGAATTTGCTTTCAATGACAATCGCCTTTAAATGAATGTTTTATGGCTACATAACTGAAGGCAACAGGCCTACTTTGAATATACACAAATTTCTTTACAATATTTATAATAAATTTGGTACATTCGAGTCATTTTTGAGGAGCTAAGTTACGAAGTGCAAGAAATTCGCTGCCTTGTAACCAGAATATTCGTAATCATTTTCCCAATTACCTGTCGCTGGTCGCTGCCCCGAATCAGGCGAACCCAGGTCACGTCATTGCACCCTACTTCTTTAAGATCCATTTTGATATTATCATCCTATCTATACCTACGTCTCCAAGGTGGTCTCCTCTCTCAAGAGCTTCCGACTAACATTTATCATCTTTCCTGCGCCGTCATCAATGCTTACACCAGCCATTAATTCGACGCAACAACGACTGGACAGACGATGTTTATTGTGATTGGAATGTGCAAGTTGTGTGCTATATATGGACGTGACACTTTTAAGTCACACTTTTTAAAGATTTACCGTTACCTAGATGTCAGTGCATACAGAGATGTTGGAGAGAGCCAATTTCTATACCTACTGCGTGTAATCTGGGCTCCAGAATAGTACAGTCTCCGGATGTAAGGACTACCTTTACCTATTGTACCTAACAGAGGAGGTTGAAGCTGAAGACACAGACAGATTCCAGTCACCGAAACGTCGTATTTTTAACTAAAATAGGATGATTTATAGTGCCCAAAATGTTTTTGTATATTAATTATTTGTTTAACGAATTATTCCTTGTTTCGATTACATCTCTCTGCAATAATAACTTAGAACAGGACTTGAAGTGTCTCGGCCTCGAGTCTAATGTGTGGTTCACAGACGGGCGCGCTGCATACATGCATGTGAACATTCTACTTTTCATGTGTTCTTTCCACGAACTGCATAGCGAGAACGCATTATGGTCTGGTCATGTCTGTCCGTCCATCCGTCTGACCAGTCGATTCAACTTGACAACCACTGAACGGATTTGGATGAAATTTGATGTGGAGGATGTGCTATTCTTCACGACTTCAGAAATGTTTTTGAATATCCTATGAGCGGTGATAAAATGAATGAGGAAATTCGTGAGGTAGACATTGAAGTACTGTGATGTGGGGGCCAAAGTGAGAACTATCAAACAAGGCACTTTGCAAAGAACGCATGAGGATATTATGTGTGTTCCGGTTCGGAATAAATTTTCAGAACTTGTTAATATTATGGCCTAAGAAATAATCAAATATCTTACAAATTCTAACAATTTTTGAAATTAAATTTAAAGGGCATTGCACCAAATTTGCAGATCGTAACTCGCTTTCCTTGTGCTTTCCTTTATGAAGTGCTAACTTTCCACAATTGTTTGACTGTTTCTGCTTTGAAATAGCAGTTAGAATAACGGAGACCGCCAGTTTTCGAATTAAGACGAAGAATAAGAAAGGAATCCATGGGGAACAGTATATTCAGTTACGTAGTTTTCTGTTAATGTTAATTCATCTATTAATGTTAAACATGAACTTCACAGGTGGTACCACTAAACTATATTCATTTATCCCTAAATACATGATTTTAGTTAGAGCACGAAGAGGAAGGCCGAGCACATGCTGTGTCGAAGTCATTACCTGCAGAGCAGTCTCATAGGACAGATAATAGGCCTGTGTGTCTAGAATGTATGTATAGGTCTACATCCTTGATACTAATCGATACTGGTCTCTGGGTTGCAACGCCGTGTGGGTTTGTAGATACTGCAGATACCAACGTTTCGGATGGACATAAATGTTTCACACATGAGCGTGTTACAATAATTATAATTACTCGTCTGCAGAATTGACAAAATAGGTTGGAGAAATAAGAGTCGTTTTACAGCTCACCAGGAATTATTACAGTTTCATTCCTCCTATATTTCATACTTTTAGTTACATAAATTTTATAATTTATCATGTGGTGTAAATTACCAAAGTTACGGAGAGAAACAAAAGTTCTTAACTTTGAACCTGACAGTTAAATCGTACTAATTTCATGCAAACGTAGCTTTTCAACGCTCTATAAATATGATTATACGATCTATTAAGTGGCCTGAAAACTAATTTAATTAAATCAGGAAAATGCCAGCTTAAAATTTGGAATATGTTATCTAAAACTGCTTCTGAAACGTCGGTTAACTTTTACCACACTAAACGGCGCAAACATCGAAGAAGACAATCATCTCTTCCAATCCTCTTGCCAGCAGTCCACGCGGCAACTTTCCAAGCGGCTTCCCGCTCAAATTCTGCATGCATTTCTTGTTACCCATGTCCTAGCTTATGCCCAGCAAATTGTAGCTTCTCTCTTCCAGTATCCCACTCCATGTTTCTTGGGTTAAAATATTTTCTAGTACTTTGTTATTTGTTATTCCGTAAAATTATGAGGCCACAAGAAGCAGCATAACCATCAACAAAAAATTATGGCCAAGCAAATGCTCCAGTCACTTGACCACGTGAAATTCTGAAGCCGAGTCCACACTGCGCGTTCTGCCGTAACGTAACAGCGAATGTGGAAGATGTTGCTGCAACACTCGCTTCTTTTGGTTCGTGGCGCGCTGTCGATTTTTCAGCGAACGTCAAAGGATATTAACGTTACGCTATCCGAACAAGTTCAGGATTTCGCCAGAATGAGCGGCGTCTTGTCCATATATGAACCTCGGGAAAGTGTGAACTCGGCTTTACTCGAATGTAAGGTGACCGCGCAAGTTGCAGAGGATTTCAATAAGTGGAGACATTGAAAGGATTAGTATTTACATATTTACTTTACGGTCAATTGCTCTTACAGGCAGACTTGAATGTAGAAATGCAGGCACAGAGACGTGGACACAATCTCGTTGAAAGGTTACACTTATTTGCTGAAATTATGTTTATAATTGTATGTGGACAAGTCTTTCAACTGCTTCAATCCCAATATGCTGTAGGTGTTAATATCGAGCAAACATGCATTGTTTCATAGAGAATTTTACTTTTCAGATTTAAGTATTTCGGAAGTGATTTTAGTACCGTGGACTGGGTGAATTTATTTGTAAGATCTTTAAATTGAGCGGGATTTTGTGAACACGGCGGTGAATATTCGGTTTTCATAAAATGCGGGGGATTTCTTGAATAGCTGAGCGAAATGTTAGCTTCTAAAGAAGGACACCGCTCCATTCAGTTAGTTGTCAAAAGCGTGATCTGAGGATGACACAACTACGACGAAACCTGCAGCCTCGTGAAGATTACATATTTTGTGTGTGAATGTATAAATATTGTTGTGTTGACGACACTTATAATCAGTTAACGTGGTGCAACAGGAATGTCCCAACACAGAATTTAAGTGAAATTTTTGACTCAATGCCATAACCTGAAATGTTACCCATTCTGGACATTGGACAGCCACATTTCGTAACTCTTTACTCTATCCCATGCCAACACGGCTCCAACAAATACTGGTTTCTTAATTATTATTTTGACTGTATGAGGTTAAAGAATGATTATTTTTTTAAACGATAGATAAGGAAGAATGTGGAAATGAGGTTTCAGTTTTACAGCGGCGAGTATAAATTTTTGATATTCCACCACGCAGTCTCGTAGAGATTCACCGACGTTTCAGAGATGCTTACTGCCTCCATTAACAGGACGATAACCGCTTTTGAAACGCCGGTCAATTTCTATGATAGTACACGACATAAGATCCCACAAGATAGTCACATTTAAGAACGCGGCAGTGGCCTTGTTTTAAGACACCATGCCAGGTATTTATGTGGACGCACAAATAACAACAAGGGGAATCGAATCTAGGTCCTTTCGAATTAGAATCAGGAATAAGCCTAATATCGACACAATCACGACGATCAGCACCAAACAAGGGTGTTCATTAGCATACCAATGATGTGGGATTTGTTTATTTACAGAATCTGGTCCAAAATGATCAGTTAACACCCCATCTAGCCCATGGCCGCAGAATCGGATGGAATATTTGGAATGGTGCCGGGTTCTGGAGATGAACAACCCATGGACTTGAGCCAAGCATCTCGGAAACCAGCACGCCTTATGCCACCCCTTATCCCGATTAGCCTTCTTCGTTCCGGCTGTCACCACCGGCGAATCCTAAACAAAGACACCGTGGGCACAAAACGCGTTGCTATACCTCAAAATATATCAGTAGTGGAAAAAGAGACAGAGAAAACGGTGCCAGAAAGACTGGAAGAAAGTACGAAAGACATCGATTGGAGAGATAGTCAGGTCTCTCCGAAACGCAGCAGGTTATGCGGTGAAAATGATTGGGTGGAAACCCCGCGGCTGGATCGCGCGAGGAGTGTACCCCAGCTGACTCCACTCCCGTCCCTTCAGAGACACAAGTCCTTGAGTGAATCTCGTATCCCAGTTGCCGCGGCACAGGCTGAAGCTAACTTGGCTGCCCACGAGGAAGCCTTCCCTGCCTGGGGAATCGACAGCCCTAGTGAACACCTCGGCGAGGAAGACCTGCGACAAAGACTTCGCTTCGCTGACAGCAACGACGAGCTGCTTAAATCCTCTTGGATCTATATCGGTTATTACTCACAACTGCTGCATCGTTTCCAGGCGCAAGAACTTCTGCGTCATTTCGCCTTGCAACATCAGCGAGACACCCGGAACGATAAGGTAAGGAAGACATTCCAATAACTGACAGATGTTTCAGTAGGAATATGGGGTCTTTACTGCCTCGATCATCAAGACGATGAGTCTCATCGCCCTGATGCGGAGGCAGCAAGGACCTCTGAAATGTAGGTAAACTTTCACCAGAGTACGCGGTGCTACAACCCAGAAGGCAGCTATGTTCATACTCGCCGCCGCGAGAACCTAAAATCTCACCAAGTAAAATTGTATTTTATTGTTTCTGGACTGCAAACTAGACTTTCAGCACACGAGTAGTTTCTGCCGTTGCGTACATGTCGAGGCGAAACATCACTTTCAAGACATACTCACAGATGGGAGATATTAATATGGTTCTTAAGGAAGTAAGGTGTGGACTGGATTCATCTGGCTCAGGATACGGACCTGTGGCGGCTCTTGCAAACACGTTTAATGAACCCTGAGGTTCCATAAAAGTCGGGGAATTTCTTGACTAGCTGAGCGTCCTTTCAGCTTTTCAAGGAAGACTCTACTCCATGAAGTTAGTTCAGTAATGTTAGAGCAAATATTTTTCTGAAAGCAGAAAATCGTGCAGAACCATTTACAGGCGAATTTACGACCAGCTACTTGTGTTATGAGATACTATTTTTTGCTAATTATTTGTGTTAAACCAAAAAGACAAGACAGAAAATGTGGTCCAAAGAAGTTGTATCTTAATCGTCGATCAGCAGATGGATACAATAAGGAATGACTGTGGTAAGAACTTAAGTCATTCGAGATTTGACGTAAAGGTAGAGATATCGCAGCACAAAACTGCATACCAGTCGCAGAAATGTTGTACATGTACTCCTACTCATCCGTGCTGAAGAGCATTGACCTCTCTCCATGCGCTTTACAACATTATACTGTTATCTCCACGCAGGCGCAACAGATTTGTAACGAGAACAATCGCCATTTCAGTTCTCTACAGGGGCTTCGGCTGGAGTATATGGGTCGCGTTTCTGGTGTTCTTTGTAAAAGCAGCGAAATTTAAAGTCTTCATAACTTGCTTTGTAATATCACAGTCTCTTTTATAATCTGACATACTGCTTTAGTCCACAAAGTAATATTTCAAAATAATTGTGACACGATGTCTAATGTCTCTGCCAGTAAAATATAAGCTTCGGCATCGCTGATAGAAATAAATTGTGCTCTTGGGCACAATCTGAAGCCAGTCATATTCACTTTCCAATATCAAAGTTTACTTTATAAGATCCATCTTACAATTATCCTCCTATCCTCTTCTCGATCTACCACATGACCGTTTCCCAAGAGGTTTCCCCACAGAAATGTCTGTACGCATTATCTCACTCATCATAGGTGACCTATAAAAATCAAGTTCCACTTTAGGTAACACGTTAAACTGCATACTTACTTATTCTTTCTTAGGTTTAAATGTCTTCCTCAGCGCTTTGTTTACAAACACTTGCAATTTATAATTTCCCTTCAAAATATCCGCGTCGAATAAGATAATACAAGCTCAGTTTTATCTGTTTTGTTTTTCTGAGACCCGATTTGTTTCACCTAACATGAATTATACATTTTTTCAAAGCAGTTTTCTCTTGAGAAAAAGAAAACAAACAAACAAACTACGTAAACTACAAATTTATACTTAAGTCGACTAAAGTCACAGTCTATTTTGGTCTCGTTAACAAAAGTGTAGAGCGCTGAATCGTAGAAATAAACAAATGCACGCCCAGATATTACCGCGGATGATTAACTGGCTGAAAGCAAATGAACTCTAACAACCGAAATTATTCATTTGGTGAGATTTCAAGTTCTCACGGCGAGTATGACAATTGTCTTCTGGGTTGTTGCCTAGTGTGGTTTGATAAAATTTACAGACGTTTCAGATATGCTGCCTCCATCATCGCTCTGACGATGAAGACAGTGAGCACCTCTGAAACGTCGGTAAACTTCTACCAGACTCCATGGCACAAGGGCCCAGAAGACAGCCATCGTCGTTTCATGTAACTTCACAGCAGAGATTTGTAACACGTAAAACTTATATTCAGGAGGTTCCTGGTTCGGATTTCGGATGCACTAAATGTAGGCTAATGCTGGTACAATAATTTCAAGTACCGTTTCCATCCACATAATTTCTAACTGCCTATTTAGGTATCATTTGATCAATCTGGCCTTAATGTCCTAATCCTACCAAAGTCCAGGATAAAGATGATGTGACAGGAAGCCGTCGTGGTCTACTTTTAAACAACTAGCCGGCAGTTTCCTGGATAATTCCGGAAAATAAATAAATATTTCAGGAAAGTAGGATTTACATCCAAGTATAGAATCCCAGGGCATATATCTGGGATCTGGGCAATTACGAAATAAAAATAACAGCCAGCGATTAGTTCTCATCAATGAACGTGGCAAATGCGATACGTATCCTTTGCAAAAGATCAGTGCTGCTCTCCACTTCGACCCAGCTTCTGTCCTGGACGGTGTTTACTAAAATACTTTTAAAAAATCCACAGCCACTTATAACAGATTTGTACAGTATAGGTAGCAGTATCCCTACTGACTTGTATTAAGAATTTACGCGGTTCGAACCAAGGATGGTGTACTGACTAACCTAACAATTTTTGTTGGTAATTTTCCTCAGTTACTGAATGCAATGCCGACACAGCCCAATTTGTCCATACTCATTATTTATGGTTAATAATTACCTCATTCGACGCTATATAATTTCAGTGGTTGAAACAGTATTGTGAAAGAGTTTAAGAATCGCAAAAATAAGTAAATTATATAATTGTCTCCACACACACTGCAGTGAAATGCTTAGCATAAATTACATTTCTTTGCTTAACGGCGTTTCAAATTGTTAAAATTAATAGTTACATATCGTCGAATGATTAGCGAACAATGAACTGAAAAGAGTGTGTAAGGAAGCTGTCATGGCCTAATGTAAGATATTATCCCGTAATTTCCTTGGCGGGCTGAGCAAAATCACGAAATATCTCAGTCAGGATAGTCTGTCTTCGAACCGAGATTGCAACACGGGGCCTCCTGAATACCAAGTATGAGCTCTACCCACTCAATGCAGTGGTCGATATTTGGCGTACAACTTGCATAAATAATACATCAACAGCAGCAAGAAAATAAAGGTAGATATAACCTAGATTATGCTTACAAGCTGACCTTCTTTACTGCAAAAATCGCACTGTACAACAAACACGGAATTTCTGCAGCATTGTTTCTAGTTATACAGGTCACCGGCTCGAGTAAACGACCAACTAGGTACAAGACATTCCTTTCTCATTTGGTAATATTTTCCTATGGTGTTTCAGGCAACAGTAAACTGTTGCAGCCATGCCACAAAAGGAACTGAATCCAGCCACCACACATTTACACCCTATTTATCCAATATATTTTATTGATCTGTCATATACACCTACATCTCCTGTGACTTCTTTTCATAGGATTTTCTGACCAGAATGTGGTATACACTTTTCATTTCCTCCGCGCGTAGTACATGTCGCTGCCGTCTCATACCTCTTTATTTAATCACCCTGACTATATTAGGTTAAGAGTAAGCCTACAAGTTGCAGAGCTCACGTCACGCCCCCCCCAGTAAGGCCTATTTCTTACTTCACCTCTCCTATATCACCGAAAGTTACAGCAGACTATTTAGTACTCATACTTGATATTCGGGAAGTCTCGGGTTGAAATCTCGATCTGGTTATCAATCATTCTGACTTTGGTTCCGAGTAGTTTCAAACAGGTTTTAAAATAATTTATTAAACCACTACCGCTTCCTACCACATCCTTGGTAATTCATAATTCATGTAATCACCGAATCATTCGAGGCTATGCAGTCCGAGTTACTGACAGCGTCGTTATAATAACACAAATAAATACATAAACAAAATAACGTAGACCAAATAACCTGAAAACATGCAAATGAGCTCGATAAAAATCACGAAATCGCAAAAAGACTGCAAACTTCCTCACTGGTGGGGTTGTTCGCGTCACACCATGAATACGAATAAATAACATTAAAATAACTATATATTGTTTTACAACGCACGTACCTGTAATGCCGTCTTCTTGTTGAAGTTTTCATGCAGTCTAACGAAATGTGACTATAACACAACTAACCTGAGGTCTGGTGTCAATCAGCGCCCTCTCTAGACTTACCGTTTTCATGGCATCCTCTGAGTTCAAGTATACACGTAGGCCAATTTTAAACTGTCAGGTGCCCATACAACAAAACATGTGAAAAGCAATGTTTTATTGATAGGTACCTATCTTCAGGAATTTAAACATAATTTCGGATAATGGGATACGATAAAGATAAATGTCCTAAATCGGATTGAATTTCAAAAAGCTTAATCTGGGGCTGAATTTTGATCCGAAACTTCTTCTTCTTCTTCTTCCTTACAAGATTTGGTAACAAAATGTCTGATTTACACGACACTAAATAATTACAATTATTTGATATGGCAGATGTGCATTGTTCATGTTCACACATGCATATGTTGCTGTTTGTATCTCCGTGTCAAGCAGCATCAGCATTACACCCATCTAGCATTACATACAACCCACTATTTCATTCTGATGGACCAAATATTTCTGATAATGCAAATATGTTTTGTCCTTCTGGCATGATGCCCTCAATATTTAGCTGACGTTTTTAAAAAAAAATTCATCAAACAATATAGTGATTATATTATTCTGTTTGTATTACTGAGCTAGATGTAAATTAAAGATAAAATGTTGGCAGAAGTGTAAATTCAGTTGCTCCCATTTTCAAAGTTGAAAAGCATCAGAAATTACTTAATTCTATTATGCTTTAAAGATAAAAAAATTATTTGATGGAATCTTTTTTAGATTTTCTCTTTTTCTGGGTCAGAGAAAGCTCTGCCATAAAAGTGAAGCATCTGCAGTTCTGTTTCGAGAACATAAATTTTACAAAAAATTTACTTACATGCTGCCCAAGTTAATTTTTAGTGTGTCTTTGAATGTAAATATGAAATAATAAGTTTTACTCAGTCCACCCATCACATTGGATAGCTCATCACAGCAGGTTTACTACATGATTGACCATTCATAATAATTCTCATTTTAGTACTGTTTTCATGAAAACTGAAGAAAATATGGGACATTTAGAGAAAGTTTTCATAATTAACTTCATGTAACAGAATCCTTCTTCCAAAGCTAGCCTGCAGCTAGCAAGAAACGTCTTACATTTCATGAAACTCATAGGTTCATTATCGTCAGAACAGTCAGCCAATGGACCCTTTCCTGAACCAGATGAGTCCAGTCCACATCCTCACATCCTATTCATTTAAGAAACATTTTAATATCATCATTTCGTCTGTGCCAAGTCTCCCACATGGCCTCTTTCTTTCAGGTTATACAACCAAATTCTACATGCACCTCATCTCCTTCTTACACACTGTATGATTCACCTATCTTGATTTCAGAAAGTTTTCATTTGAAATTAAAGTTAATAGTCACAAATTTGTTTTGACTGGACTAAGGAAGACTGTCAAGTTCTGTAAGAACTTATCCTAGTTGGATGATCATCACAAATCTGAGGCAGGAGTAAAGATTGTTATTTATCCTACACTGTGCACTTCAAGATTTTGTCTTCACAGCCCAACATTTCTTCTTATTCTTCTATGGCTCTCCGGTCTGTATTCGGTCCATGGCCTCCTCAATTCTCCTCTTCCATTCGGTCCTCTGTTTGGTCCGTCTGTCCGAGGCTTTGATTGAGGTTTGATGTGTTGCAGATTGAGGGGATGGCATTAAGTGCTACATCCACAGCACCAAATCCTTCAGAAGATTCATCTGACATGAAGCGAAGGCAGGCACGGCCATTAACTGGGAAGCATGTAAGGCCAGGAACTGGAGCCAGTCCTGCCACGCTGCTCTCTCTGCGGCGCAAGATACAGGCACGCCAACAACAGCATGATGCACAGCAATTACACAAGTAGCATCAGTGCTGATTCCAATACATATGAAGAAATATGGTGTACTGAGACTTCCATCACAAATATAGTCATTCCTGTACTGGGTGTTAAATTCTAACATTGTTTCAGAAACTGATACAGATGGCATAGTTCTCACATCATAAAAGACAATTATTATTTTCACAGGTGTTTCATGCAATGAATGTGGTATCAAGTTAAATTACATAAAATCCCATTTCTATTGCATGATGCTGCACACCTGAAGACTGTGCCCGTCTTTCTGCTCAATTATATGAGACGTATATTTTAATAAATTATATATTATTTAATATTCCATGTGGCAGAATTTAAGATGCCAATGCCTAATTGAAAACATTCCATTTATTTGAGTAAGGTAAACAAGTCTTCCAAACAAGCAGGTTAATGACCATATGTTCAGTATTGGTGCCTGTGATCTTTGGTACAAATAGTGTGAATTTATTTTATAAATGGAATTACAAATTGCATACATATAATACATAGGATGCAAATTTAAATATTTATTATTTTTATACTATTCAATTTAATATAGTTTTAAGTTTGTATGCAATGTCACTTAGCACAGCTGTGGCAGTAATTATGCCCAACGTGAACTTTGTAACTGGAAGGTGCGATGAACCTTCAACAAGAGAAGACTTGGGCAAAACATGTAACTCACAGAACTATTCAAACACTGCTTTGAACATAACATTCTGAAAATGACAGATACAGCAGACATTAAAGAGGAGAAAATCCTTATATCTTATGCCTGAGATTCTCTGGTAATAAAAACAATTCTACATCTTGATCAATTTTGCTTTGATTCTTTATAAATTCTTGTCAGTTACTGACACAGAAGCAGGTACAAAACTCTGAATTTTATTTTCAGTTTTAAATACTCACCCAACCTTTAAAAAATAAAACATGGTGAAATAAAAACAGACCCACATAACTGTATTTATGCATAAAATACTGAATGATGCTGTCAACTACAGATGTTATGAAGCATCGAATGAAATGCAAGGGTGATTACCAGTATACATTAAATATAATACTGTCAACTTTACATCAAACAGGTGACTATGACATCCTCAGCACATGATCTGCTTAGTACTACCATACAAAATAACATTTCTCTATTGTGCATACAGTATCAGCAGCAAGCATGTGTAACAATGCAGTGAATGCCAAATGTGCAGAATTCTTTTTTTTTTATGATAAATAATTTCAATGCCATCCTACTTCATAAACAAAGCCAAAATCACAACTAATAAGTCAAGATGCCAAGGAAACTGATATGGACAATAGTATAACAACTAGTGGGAAAAACCACAAACATCTATCAGTTCCCAGATTAATATTCAAACTAGTATCAGTCAATCAGTCAGAGCATCGCTGCTATGCTAAACCCACTCAGTGAGAGGATCTTAGAAATTATGTGATAGTGAAATAGTATTCAGTACACTAATCTGTCCTGGGTATAATTGCCAGAATGTAAAATTTATCTTTATAAAGAAATGTGTAGGTCTTTTACCAATTCTTTTTAAACTGCCTCCAGGCAAAGAAGTCATTAAATTCATAAGAGACAATAATACTGAGGAAAAGACCAGCAACACTTTTGGCAGTACAAATTTTCATATCTTCTGGATATTCACTTAACAAAAGAACTTCATGTATGATGCTGTTTTCAGTACATATATGATTGAATGAGCCAGGGTAGTAGCTCAGTTAGTATAGTGACTGGCTACAGACTGGGCAACCCCGGGGTTCGATCCCGACGGGGAGCAAAGGATTTTTCCTCTAGCTTCTAGGTCCAGACTGGCTATAGGGCCCACCCAGCTTCCAATCAAATGGGTACCAGGTCCTTTCCCTGGGGTAAAGCATGGCCAGGGCATGACATTAACCACTCAACCCCACCTGGTGCCGAGGTTAAGAACTACTAGGAGTTATACCTCCTCTCACCCCAAGTGCTTGCACAGGCATATAGTGGGACAGCTTTACATTTTTAATTTACAAAGAACATGTAAACTAAACAGCTACTACCTTTATTATTGTACCTGGTGTTACCCCAATGGAAGTAATGCCAAAACATTATGGATAATAATTTAAGATAAATTTTACAACATACCACCTCATATGGTATACATGTAAAATTATAATTCTATCTGATGTATAATGAAATGTATAATGTATGACATCTTGATACTGTGGTATAGACAAAAAAGGAACTGAACATGCAAAATTGTATTTAATGTTATCTTGTATGATGCACCAAGTTTTCAGACATTATTAAGCGTAAGAGACAATAATTTTCCTGGGTTTGTATCTCCCAGGGGAAATATGCTTGTATTTACCATCTTTTTTATGACACACCACTGTATAAATATTTTGAACATCCCTGTGCCTAAGTGTCAGAATAGAGAAATCAATTCTTTTCCCCAAGAGGAACATTTATGTATTTGCCATAATTTATAACGCATGGTTATACAAGGGTTTGGACACTCCTGGGCTTAATTTCTGAAACAGGCAAAAACTGATAATTTTCCCAAAGGATAGTTTTCTGTGTATAACTTTTTCTGCAACATGTACTTGTAGAAGTTTCTTGGATGTCTGTGTACCTAATATTCAAAACAGATGAAACTATTTTTCTAGGGTGGCCTCTCCAGATTTTTTTTGTAATTATTTTTTTTTTTACTACACATTGTTTTATAAGTGTTTTTGGACAGCTGTGAACCTAATTTTTTAAACAGACAAAAGCCGACAAATTTACAGTATTGTCTCTTAAGAGAGAACGTTATTAATCATTTCTTTATGATGCACAATTTGGGAAAGATGTACCATTTTATAAGTGTTTTGGACACCAGTGCCTAATTTCAAAATTGACAAAGTTGATATTTTTCCCCAGGATTCTCTCTCCAAGAGAAACATTTTCTAAATTTACTATTTTTTCTATAATACACCATTTAGGATAAATGTGCCATTGTATAAGTTATTTTGGACACATCTGTGTCTAATTTCCAAAACAAAAAGGTAGATCATTTTCCCTGAGTTTCCCCCAAGAAGAATATTTTTCTGTACGACGTGCCATTATGGGCAAGTGTATACATTTTTTGATACTCATGCACCTACTTTTCAAAACACAGAATATTCAATAATTTTCCTGAGGTTTTCTCTCCAAGAGGAAAATGTTTTGTTCATATTTCTTCTCTATGATGCACCATTTGAAAGAATGCCCCACTGGAGACCTATGTACATTTTCAAAACAGAAGAGTTGTTGATTTTCCTGGGGTTGCCATTCCAAGAGGAACATACTTAGTCTTCACAATATTATCTGCCATGTCTTATTTATTTATTTATTTATAGTTTATTTAATGACATTTTCAGTATCTCAGATATAGCATTGAATGAAAGGATAAAAGGGAATAATGAATTGGAAAGGATGTGGAAGGAAGCAGTCCTTGCCTAATCTAAGGTACCATCTTGGCACCACATCATTTGGGACAAGAAAGGTAGGGCAGGCAGATGGTTAGCAAAAATTTGTCCTATTGGCTGTTAACAGAAGTTAAAATAAAATCTATGTATGGTACAGCAAACTCTTTGTTATTACAAACTTCAGGTTATCCTACATTCTCTATTTATCTGAAAGGATACTATAATAAAAACAGTATACTTAGTTGTTTAATGAATATTAGTGAAATTATGTACATGTTTGTTTCAATTTTTGTTCAATAACTGTAACTGGTTCTTAATTATTTTAAAGCAGTCATTATTTCAAGATATACATATTTTTATGTACAAACCTAGAAGTAAAATGCAAGCCAGATATCTAACATTCTCACTCTGCATGCAGGCATATATAGTATCCAGTTTACGATATGAATCAACTATGCCGTTAACTAACTTCACTTAAACACTAAATTCTCTTCTCTGACCTAATTGTTTCAGAGAAATACTTCTTTATCCCAAACATTTTTGAGGATGGTGGATAGGGACTGAACCTATAACACCCCTCTAAATATGTACTAATAATATTATTGTTATTGTCAATACTTTATTTCCACATCTGAACTAATGCAACATTGTATCAAGCTGGGTTCTGAGTGGTTGTAAGATAACACAAGTTAAAACAATGTAGTTTTCAAGAACACTGAATGTATTCTTAGTGAAAAATCCCCTGAAAGGTGGGAGATAAGTATGTTCCTTAAGCAACTGTATTATTATGAAATTATTTAACTAAGTCTATGGAAAAAGGTCCTTCTTGAGAAAATGATACTTGCTCAACTAGTCAAAAATTTGCCTGCCTTTTGTTGAACCCAAAGGTTCATGTTCATAACAGCCTACCACTAGTCCAAATGAATACATTTCACACCCTCACACCCAATTTATCTAAGATTCATTTTAATATTATTCTTCCAAATGGTCTCTTTCCTTCAGGTAAAGGGAAGTACTGATTTGCACTGCGTTTGTGACAACTTATGTGCTGAATATATGAATAAAGTTAAATCTCAGTGTTTCAGCGATCACTGAGGAAACATCATACCTTCTTCAGTGACAGACAGAGAATTCAACAAGTCAGTCTTTCTGCTGTATAAATTTGTTTACATTATTTTTTAAATGTATAAATAGGAAGACGACATTTGTAAGAATTGTCCTTGTTTGTTTCTGCTCTTTTCTCCTATTAACTGCGAACACGTGGTCACATTTTATGTTGAAATGGTGTTAAATAAAGTTGATGTACATTCTTGGTTCACTAAACCAAAGAGGTGTTGAGCAGTATATTTAGGGTCTATAAAATGTTGTGATCAAAATGAATGGCAGCATTCTAAATGGCTCTACAAATGTGAGTGTAACTATGGTGCATGTTTTTATTTAAATGTTGTGAGTAAAATATTTTATGAAAGCAATTACATTTTTGAATTTTTTCAACTGAAATTGTCTCCTGATATTTCCTGTTAGGCAAATCGCAAAGATTTTAATGTTGACATTTAAATTTGGATCACGAAATCCCTTTTTTGCTGTCTAAAATAACTATCAGAACGGTGGGGGATACAAAACTGACTGCAGAGTAGATCAAAGTATTTCTTATATTTCTGAGAAAATAATGAGTAATATTAATGTATTTTATTTGATAAGATATAATGAAAACAAAGTTAACATAATCAATAAGTAGCTTTTAGCAGAAACTTATGTTTGTATTTGAAATTAATTACCTTTGTCTTGAACACGAAACCCAAATCTGAACCAAATTGTATTTTAACAAATTCGGTGCAAACCAATGTAAAATTAAGTCTGCTGGTTAAAACTGTAATTCAGTGTATAGTTAATTTTATTTTGTATCTGAAGTGTGCTGCTTGTATCCCAGTGAGATTAAGTATATGTTTGTAATTCTGTAATATTTGTTTAAATATACACACTTTTCACATTTCTTGGTTATTCTTCAACATGTAAGATGTCTGTTCAGTATTGTTATTAACTTTCAAATTTTATGACAGAAGCCCATTTAACATTGTACATTTTACTACTTCCACAACATTTTCAGCAATATTACTTAACCTCTTAGTTTGTGGGTTACTTAATGATGATAAATCAGTTGCAGAATTTATTTAAAATCACAAGATGATACTGAGCAACTTAGTGTAACAATATTGCTCTAGACCAGTTTTCTGCAACTGCTGTCCTGCCACAAGTTTACAGGCATGCCAAAATTTTTTATAAGAATTGTATACTCGCAAGCAAAAGTTATAGAAAGGCAATATCTTATCTTTTGTGATTAAAATTTGTAACATGAGTGTGCACGCACACATCAGTTAATCACTAATAGTTTTATTCAACAGGTATTGGTTTTCACATGCCTGCATTCTTATAGTGCAAGGACTTATATGGAGATACATATTTATGGCCATGTATAGTTTCACACCTTTTTATGAGGCAAAATTTTGTGGCATGTCATCATGTCTTTGACAAATTAGCTGTGCCTAAGGTGGAAAAAGCATAATTATCTGAGATATGACTCTGTGTGGTTTTACAGTTGGCTACCATTTTGGAGGAAAGTATTGCCTTCACCATGAAGATGACAGCAAAACACTCCTCTTCAATGTTGGTAACAAGCTACAAAACATACCATCATGACCCAGCAGATGCACGTTGACATACTGGCATTATTTAAGCTGATTTCTTGAAAACCCTGTTACATTCTTCTGCACGAATACCATCATCTACTAAATTTGTGGTAAACTGAAAAACTCATAGCCACAAGGCCCCTGAAAGAGAATGATATTTACAATATCATTACCAATACTACAATACTGTGTAACAGACAACTTGCAACAATAGCTAAACTTACTGTGTTGTCTTTTACAGTAGAGGAATCTTTTGGTTCACGTACCCAGTGAAGTGCTGCCACTGTCTGGTGACAAACCATTGTCAATAGTGTGTCATACTGCTGTTAAAAAGACACAACACACACATATAATAAAAGTTAAAAGTCTATCAGACATGGAAGTGAAAAAACTGGAGTCCTAAGGATACATTAATCTCACAGTTGTAACTAACTGATTGCTACTGAAAAAGAAAGATGAACACAGTGTTTGAAGTTGTTACCTGACAATGAAATGGGTCAACAACAGAATTAGAATGTTGTACTGGACGAGGAACACGACGTGGCAAGTCACGATACACATTAAGTTCCTCAACATGGAAAGTGTGCCAAACTGGAGAGGGCTGCCTTAATACTAGACGAAAAGTCAACACACCCTTCCACTCTATCTGACTCTGTAAGATAAACAGCAATCCAATTTACTACTTTTTCCTTCATTTACACCAACAGCAACTGTTTCAGCATTTCTGAAAAAAAGAGTTTACTGTAATTTGAAACATTTATATTTTAGTTGCACCTTGAGGGCAATTATTCAAATAATTCCATGATAATAAAAATAAGAGTACATATTAAATATTTTCTTTGTAGAAACAAATTTAAACCAAATACTGAAAGAATGAGTTACCACGAGTCAGATGAACAGTCTACCTTACAGTCTGTAAACCACAGATAAATTCAACTTAATAATTTCCCTCACCACTATAGAAAGTCTGAATCATGACATAAAGAAGTTTAAGGCATCACTAAAAGAGTATCTCCTATCTCACTACTTTTACTCCATTGAAGAATCTACCTCAACTAAAAATTCTCAGCTATTATAAATATAAGCAAACAATAGTGATGATGATTTCATGTGTAATTATTTTTGCCGTAATACTGTAGTTGTAACCATCCACTGCTCTCGTCCTCCCTTGTTTTCCGCTGGTTGGAGCCCTGTGGAGCTGCAGTCGTCTCAGGGTGGGTGCTTAGCTGCCTCTGCTCCCAGGGTGATGTGGGTAGCTCAGGGTGTGGGTTGTGTTAACGGCCATGTTATCATTCGCTGATGCGAAGCAGGTCGTTAACACGACCCAAGATTAGAGTCCACCCACCGACGAGCTAGGACCCAGCAATCATATGCCCTGAGCTACCCACATCGCCCCTGAGAGCAGAGGCAGCTAAGCACCCACCCTGAGATGACTACAGCTCCACGGGGTTCCAACCAGCAGAAAGCAAGGGAGGACAAGAGCAGTGTATGGTTACATAGTTGACTCTATATCACTGTCAAAACTATGACATTTATAATTTTAATGAAAACAAGTATCGTATTTATGCCATGACATGATCTATTAATACATCCTTGGCTTAGGCCCAAGGCTGTGTAAAGGTATCTAGCGGCCTCAGGACAAAGCTCCATTCAGGGACCCCGTCAATATTTTTGATAACTCATTCATTTGTGGGCCCCTTCACTTGCAAAGCCCGGGGGCAACACCCCCATTGCATGGACCTGCTTAGGGCTATGAGTGATGTATGAAATGTAAATAAATCCTAATCTATTCTAAAATATAGGGGTCCTGGTACAAAGTGTACAGTACTTCCACACCTTCCAAAGCACTGTCCACTTTGGTATAATTATGAAAAGTTTAGTAACAGGAGGTATACAACTTAAATGTTTCTAACATTATGCAAGTGTGATGCAAGTATGATGTGAGTGTGATATTAAAGTGTATTTGTATGGAAGAAAGCATATGAAAGAAAAGTATACTTTTAAAATATGATGCCCAAATTATTAATACCTATTTTCCTCATACAAGTTTTATACAGTTGCTCTATTTATTGATATATTTTTATGTACCAATTCCAAGGGGTGAGCCCTTCTTGAGAAGCTAATAGTACACTCAGCTAGTCAAGAAATTATTCTCATGAATTTTGTAATATTAATATTATGACAGCAAACAGTAACAGATATGGTAGTTGTAAATGTTAAAATGAAGAGCTTGTTAATATGTCTTGTCATAATTTCAAATGACATTCAAAAGCAAAAACCAAGATATCCAATGTATAAATAGGGTTTATTACAATGTTGCGTCAGACAAATTTATAGGTATAACAGGTAGGCTTCAAAACATCAGTTCAACCACACAATTGGATATATTATTAGTTACATGTATCACAGATCAGTTGTTTATAAGAACCATCAAACCAGTACATTTAGTAAATATTAGGGTGATGTACCTCAATTTGACCAAATTGCAAGTAAATCTGAGACAATGAAAAGGGTGATTATCCAGATGTGCAGTGGATGAGACACACATAGGCGTACATTATTTATCATGGTCTCCATTTGATTTCATGCAATATGAGTTGAAAGGGAAGATCTGAAATGTCACTGCACTGATAAAATCTTTCACTCATTCTACTTACTTTAAGCACAAACAAGGATGTTACCTCTGTAGCTGGAACAGAGATGAAGTCATGACTGCCATTCTCAAGGTGAGGATTAGGCATCAAAACTCGATGAGGAATTACAACAACCCAGCCTCCCACATGTTCTGTTAACTTCATGCCAGATCCAGTTCCCTTATTAGTTGGCACAAACAATTTACCATGTGATGTTCCAGCATTACTGCTCATGGCTGTATGTCCTTGTGTAAATTGAAGACTATTACCAGAATCAAAACGAGCCAACACAGTTAAAGAGGCAGTGTAGTAATTGCGGAACACCAGTTCTCCTACCTGCAGATTATAATGGTACAAAAAGAATTTTCAAATTAAAAATCAGAACTTACATGGATTATGTTTATTAGCTGGCCTCATCTTTCATCATATAATATGAATCCATAAAATTAAATTTAAAAATGTAATAATCAGGTTTCTCAACTACTTCTCTGAGAAATAAATCTAAAATATTACATACATAGGTCATAGCCAGCCCATAACCCAGTCACTGTACTGAGTGAGCTATCCTGACTCATGGTGTATCAGTGTTAATATTTTATTAAGGCATAATCCACTGCACATGATTTAGATTATAACAATTATAAAAATTCTAAAGTCACTGAATTTGGAATGCTGGTCTCATCTCCATCTTCAGGGATGAAACTCTTCCTGACATTATGCAACATAATGAATTACCTGGGATGGTGATGAGAATTGAAGATCAAGCACAGAACATCCAGGACTGGTAAATTCTTCCTCATCTAAGCTTATGGCTACAGGTCCCTTCACACTGAATTCCACAATTTCACATCCACTTCGGCAAGGATGAGCCCCTACTGATGTTGACATGGAGGCAGAATCCAAGGTTTGGATATGTTCTTTGTCTGAATTTCTCTCTGTCATTGTTGCTATGGACCTGTACATTCACCGTTCATTCCCTCTAATATTTATTAAGTTTTATTTAATTTTGAAACTAATATTATTGCAATGGATGCCACAAAACCAGTGCTGTTATTTCCTAATGCCTGCAAATTTTAACTGTGTAAAATAATAACAATATTAACAACCATTACAGTTACACAACAAATTAGTGGAGCAACTGGAAATATGGGAAAACCACTTGCAAATTAAATGGAATATGCTTTGTATGCAATCTGTAAGGAAACAGCAGAGAACTCATATTTTGAGAATGACATATTTACTACAAAAACTGATACCATAAATACTGTAAAATTTAATGTTCTTTAAAGCGTACATAAAAGCAACAGAATTCAACTCCACTTGACTGGATGAATGCAGTCATTTCACAAGACCCATCTCAAAGATAACATGATAAATAGGGTATACAGTTATCCAGTACTCATATACAATTTTCAGATTTCTGTATCTTTCACCATATCTTCAAAATCCTCCCCACCATCATTATCAAATCGGTAATGTAATCTGAATTTTATTTACAATTTATACGTAACACAAAAAATTGTTGCGTCTCTTAAAGAAATCAACCTATCAACGAACTTCTAATCACACATCTCCCAACATATCAGAGTCGTTGACTATACGTCTCTTCAGCCTAATCCAGTCTCACTGTTAAAACAGAATGTTTGATATTACCCTACCGACACTTTGTTTATTCTATGTAGCAGAGATTTCACGATAAATCAATATATACGTTCAACTATCAGAGAAAATCTCCTTTCTTTTGGAACCCCAAGAATATCACCGCGTTCACAAGATACCGCCACTAGAACCTATCCTGAGGAATTCGTCCCACATCTTCCGGTTTTCGAAGAAATGGAAACATTGTCAGCATCGTAAGATAACCGTGAATAAAATTTCGAAACAACGTGACAATTTTGTCTAATTCGCTCTTTCATTGCCTCTGCATTTTCAAATATCAAATGTTCTTTTATAAGTACCTATAGTGTTTATGAGAGGCTGTTATAGCGTTGAAACACGGCCTTTGACCTTTGTGAACGGCACTAGTGACGTCAGAGATTTGTTGGGTCAATAACTTTTGCGTGTGTTGGTACCTGGCAATGATTACGTCATCAAGGATTCACCATGTGGTTCCGTGAGTGGGGGTGTGGCACCTGCCTTTATTTTCTCGTGCAGAGGCTCAGACTACAGAGGCAGTTACACAGCGCTAGAAAACAATTGTCTTTAGAAGAGTCTTCTGGGATATTGCGGTGTGCAATCTAGTATAGGAAGTACATGCTGCCCTGATGATGTACGCAAAAAGCACCTCCGAAATACTGTTAAACTTATACCACACTACATGACGCACCATCCCAAAAGACATCTTCATTCTCACCATGAGAACCAGAAAAATCACAATAATCATCTCCTTTGAATGTTATTGCCAGTTCTGTTTACAGTCATGGGTGAAATTGTTTGCTGCAGGCAAAAACGATTTTTCTGGCAGATAATTTGATGAAATATGGCATAATGCATCAATTCATTTTTGTAGTAGATACAGTGGTATGAATCATAACCACTTTGTATTAAAAATGCTATTTTGGTGCAGCAGATATATATATATATATATATATACACACACTTTTTTTTTATAAATTTCCTGTATATGAACTGTTGGGGTCAACTGAATTTTTAAACATATTGCTTCTGTCATGACATTATGCAAATTTCTTAAACTTAATCTTAAACCTACAAGTAACTCCAAACATTATAAATAACATTGCATAATTTATGTACCTTAGATTCAAAACTAAAAATGGCAGGGGAAATGCATAAATTGTGAAGGGAAATTTTGTATCTAGTGCATGTAACAAAAAAGTCTACATTTGATATACTATTATTCAGTTTTTACCGAGAAGGACAGTGGGATCAGTATTCCTGTCATTCACTATACTTGCAAGAAAATTTTCTCCAAAAGGACTTAGAGTTACCATATTACTTACTAAACAGTACTTTTAATATCTCCATTTCATGTCTAATAGGTTATGGTACTAATGAAGTCTGGCTCTTTGATATGTGTACATAATACTTATGTCAAAATTGGATTGGTATGTGTATATTTTAAAAATCAGTAACATCACTGCAAGTATGGACATTACACATCCAGTTAAAATTGTTGCAGAAGTCTGGAGAACAATCAAAATATTCTGATCTCTTTTTAAAAACTGGGCTCATAAGTTAGTCAACTACAGAATCTGCATAACATTATATGGAAATGATAAAGACCCAAAAAAGAAATGTGAGGAATGTTGGTCCTGGCCAAAATTTAATCATGGATTTCTTGAACTGTTTAAATGTTAAATATTTTTGTGCAATTTAAATAAATTACAATGATTATGGAATGCAGAGAATGAAGAAAGGGCTGCAATTAAGGACACCAATCAATATGAATTTATATTTTAAAATCACAGTCCTATACTGTTGGCAAAACGTTTTACTAATTTGTCTAAATAGAAGCTAAATTTTGCTTCATGCTATATGAAATAATGTAACTGTTATACACATATTCCAAATAGTACAGAAATAATCAATTTTTTATCACTTTCCAATTTAATCATAAAATTATAAATAAATTAACAAGAAACAGGGCATCAATATACAGATTTCATATCACAATTATTTCATTAATATTTTATCCTGTCACATTACTGACAATGAATTATATCCTTAGTAGTACTGCTGTTATCACTAAGCTTTAATTGTTTTAAGAACAAAATATTGACAAAATAATTCATCATCTGATTACTGCCAACTAATATTCATAAATGAACTGACAACTGCAGAAAAGTGTAACTGATGTTATCAACAATATATACAAGATGAAGATGACACAGCATTTCAACCTCACATCATTATTAACTTTATCATATTGGTATAACAGATAGACCCACAAATTAACGGCATGTGAGCTAAACTTTAACTGTTTAACAGCATGCTACTGTAATGAATGTTCAGGCACAGCCAGCTCAATCATGTGTAAGCAGTGGCATGTGGCTGATAAAGGTGATTAAGTAAGATTGATTCAGTAAGATTTGAGGTTGTCATGGCGATGAGTCAAAAGATGGTTGTGTTCTGGGTTATAGTGCTGTATAGTCTGGTAGAACTGGACTACATGGTGCTACAACCTAGAAGATAGCCATCTTAATATTGATTCAAAACATTTAAGATAAGTTATGATCAATGGGACGCTAAGAAATTATTGGGAAGTTTAAAAGGAATTTCATTCAATGGTTATCAAACATGATCAATTCCTACATTTATACAGTGTGAGGTAAACAACAGTTCATAAAAACAAGTTCAGAACATGGCAGCTTATGGAAGCAGAAAGAAGGGTATACTATTGACCTTCAGGTTAAAACATTTTCCTTTTCCACATTAAGAGTTGTTTTCTCATAGCACATCAGTAAAAGTACAGTGTGTGATGGAAGAAGATAATATATGATAAATGCTACAATAAATGTGTTATAACATTCTTACAGCAAGTATGAAAGTATGAATGTTCAAACATCATGAATTTCATCAACCAGACTTCTTCCATAGGAGGATAAAGAGTCATGTTGCAAGAGGAAAACTATGGTGTGAAATTCTCGGGTAAAAGATTGAGAAGGGAAAATGTATAAGATAAATATTATGTTTACAAGGATACAAGGAAATATATTTCTCAATGACAACTATGGTACTTAGTAGGATTTGAGGTTTTCATGGCAGTAAGTCCAAAGATAGTTGTCTTCTGGGTTCTAGCACCATGTAGTCTGGTAGAGGTCTTAGCTGCCTCCATCATCATGGTGATGGACCCAGCTGGGGCCTCTGAAACGTTGGTGAACTTCTACCAGACTACATGGTGCTGGAACCTAGAAGGCAATTATCTTTGAATTATGATAATTCTTTACTAGAAATTCTGTGAAAGACTGTTGAGTTACTTAATGATGCAGCAGTGGTTATATAGCATGGAATGAGACAGTACTTTAATCATGCTATTCTTTGTTAACCATTCTAATATGCAGCTGAATGTTGTATTTCCTTTGTAAATATACTTTACAGTGTTCAAACACTTTCAGAGAAAAGAATGATAATTTTGAGGAAGACCTGTTAAGAGGACATGACAGACTACAGTTATGCCATGTGCAGACATCCCTCGCTCTTACTACTGGAACCACCTCGAATACCCTCATTTTCATTTCATGTGATATGTTGGACAGTCATTGTTTGTTTCATGGCTCTAATTAACAAGTATGATTCATCAGGTTTCAAGTCACTCTGAGTTTTACCTACCAAGGGCTACTATGTATCTTAGATTCTTATTCCTGTTCCCAGTACAGTGGATCATATTAACTATAGCTTGTTACTGAGAATATATTAAAACCAGAAAGTTTATTTCTTATTCCTTCTTCATTGCAACCAATGATGTGTTGGAACACTTGGGTGGACATACCTAGACTCTGTGTAACTAAACGGAAACATTTCCTTTGCTGCAGTTATAATTTGGAATAAAATATTTAAATGGCACATGCTTTTAGGGAACTGTGCTCAACAAATATGGTAATGATAAAGCTTCATTTTCAACTCAAGAGATGCTGTAAGACTCAACAGTAGGATTAACCCCCAAAACATTCAATATCATTACAAAATGCGAAGACTCGTGTTTCATACTAAGGTCTTTGTTGGTAGGCATTACTATACAAAAATACAGTCATATTATAAAAAAACAAAAACAATTATAAGATTAGAATATGAGTATATTTTCTTGTTAATTAATATCATGAAAATGAGTTATACTGTAGCTTCATTACAGCCTTACTATTGAGGATTTCAGATTACTTTTGATTGTGCACTCCTTTAAACATTGGGAAGGTAACCTATCCATTCATTCTGCAAATATCAAGGTAGGATGCTCATGCACTCAAACTAGGCCCATTCCATGAAAAAAATCAAATTAAAAGAATAAAATATAGGCATTGACTAAAAAACTGTAAAAAGATTAAACTACAAATGTATGAAATTATTGTACACAGCAGAAATGAAGTAACTGAAACAATTTGAATTTCTATATGTGTGACATGCTGATGTCTAATCATGACACACATCAGACCAATTGTCCCAGCAAGAAGCAAAACTCTGGCATCCACCAAAATGTTGAATCTCATATGTCAATGAATAAGTACATTTTTTCAGCAGCTTACAAGGTACTGATTTTCTCCTTTTGTTTTAAAAATATAACACATAAATACATTATTTCTCATTGAGGCAACTGGTATTATGTAGTTATCGAAATCTTTCAAATCATATCTCTTATAACACTATTATTTGTTATTGAAAGAATATGATTCACGAGCTGTTTCTTGACATTGTGAGAGCAGTGTCCCAATTGAGCTGAAATAACCTTTCTGAGGTTCTCACAGCATTGAATGTCTGCTGTAATCTTCTGGACTGTGATACCATGTAGTCTTGTAGACATTTACCAGTATTTGCAAGGAACACTGGTATTGACTTGATTACATGGTGTCACAAGTAAAAATTAATATTTATTATTTCAGACTCCTATATTTTTCATGGTGGATGCAAGTTTTCCTTACACGTTAAGAACTGACGTTTATTGAATTGATAAATCGCAAAACCTAAAGATTCCATAGTCATGTAGCAGACTTGCTAAGGAACCATAATGTGTTTTACATAACATCTTAATTATTTACATTTATATCCCAAAGGCATGAAAACATAACATATGAAAGCCCACTTGCATAAATTATGTATAAGAAACGGCTGCCACCATGAAGAAGTTCCAGACTACCGCAAGAGATGCAATCACCAAAAAAGTACTTGGGAGTTTTTGGAAACCTTATACAGGTCCTATGTAAGGCTTCCAAAAACTCCCAACCACCATACTTTGACCCTGATGATGGCAAGTGCAATGTTTTCTAAAATGTTGGTTAATACTCAACATTCAGTGTGGCTCACTCCCAAAAGCTGAAGTTATACAATAAACTGCAACCACAAAAAGCAAAGGACAAGAATAACATTTCAGATTACTTGAACAGGGACAGTCTATTTTAAGCTGTTTTCATGAAATGTCAGCTCTATTGCTAGAGTATGTGCCAAAGTGATAGGTATCATAAAAATTCTACAGAAAGGCCTCTGATTCAGAACATCCATGTCACTGTTACTCAAATGAAGGCAGTTTGTACAGTGTAATGCTTTCTGAATCTCAAGACAATCTTCACCAAATTGGGACTTACACAGGGATTTATCTATTTAAAGTTATGAATAATAATAATAATAATCCGTGGCGTAACAGCCCTATGAGAGCCAACACAAATAGACTGTCATCACAGACTACTGTATAGTATAATATGGACCTGATATTATTAGGGCTGTAGTGCTCAAATTTTGTAGTGAATCAATTAACATCCATCTCATCATCAACATTATCGTTGTATCGAAATATAAAAAAATACTGAAAATATCAAAACAGCAAATATTGACACTGAAATATTGAAAATATCAAAACATCATAGTACTACACATAAGACCATCAAAACTAACTGCAAGAAAGAAACAGACTGGAAGCTATACATGTTACAAATCTCGGTTTTTTGGTGCACAGTTTAAAAACAAATTGAAGAACAAAAATTAAATATAAATGTAATTAAGCAAATATATCTATATGTATATACACAAGGAACACAGAATGTATTTTATAGTACATATACAAACTTGTTTATATTAATAAAAGTTATATTAGTGAAGTTTAAAGTTAAAATTTCTGGTCTATGTTTCTTCTGGTTGTTGTAATAATTAATTCAAATGATACATCTGTAAGGAAAATATCACTATTTGAAAACTTACCAAAATAGCTGAGACTAAAAAGTAAAGATTGAAGAGATGCATGTATTTTTGGCTCTATCTTACAAATTACACATCACAAGTAGGACACATTGAAAGATTTTGGTCCACTCTTGAACAATTCTATATGCCATTTTATAGTAACTTGGATAAGTTTTTTCATATATTGGATTTCTACATTTTTGTGACAATATGACTCAACCAAACATGACTGACAAAACTATGATGGACTGTGGAAAACAATATCTCTCGTTGATAAGCTCAATGAAACCTATGCTAAAATTCACAGATCATGTAAATATTTAGCTGCAGATGAAGTCATTGTGCTGTTCAAAGGGAGAGTTATTTTCAATACAAGCAATATGTTCCTAAGAAATAAATGCTCTGAAACAAAGATTTGTAAATTGCATGACATGACTGGCTACACTTATGATATTAGAACATATTTTGGAAACGAGGGCAAAATTCATAAAATTATAGTTTCATAAATTTTTAATAGGAGATGGGAAGATTCTAGACTGAACGGTAGCATGAATTTGTTAAATTTGATCTCACATCTTGAATACAATTCTGGTCTGTTACTGCTATTCCCAAGAACTTGAACTCTGCTACACTTTCAAGATATTTATTACCATTTTTAACCTGTACTCTCACTTTTTTCTGTGCATGTTTCTACAAGAACCTTCTTAACAGCATCTAATAGAGTTACTTTCTCTTTATAGCACATATACAAATTTTCACATAATAAATTAAAATCATCAACATACACTACAAGCTGATATGTTCAAGCCTGTTCCAGTCCATTTAGTGACCCATCAGTTTCCTAATAGCAAATTCAATTTAAAACAAAAAGAAAGGGGAATACAATAGTGAGGATAAAGTTTATTTTCATATTTAATAAGTCAATTTAAATCAGTCGTTCTAAAATAACAAAGAGTACCTGGAATATTTTGTGACATGTGCAATATTTACAATCAAGACTTATCAAAACAACTTCTTACCAGAAACATGGGAATCAGATGTATGTGTGTAATCTATAATGTCACAAAATGAAGACCAGGTAAATACTGTTTCTAACATATTACTTATTACCAAGAATAGTGCACTTCAGAATTTTGAATGAACTTAATTAAGGTACTGGTACAGCATGAAAACTGGGGATTATGGTATGGATAGTAAGTGGTCTGTATCAAGGGTTATTTGCATCCATGTAAACCCATTGTTACATTTTCTGTAGCACTGAAATATATGATGAATGGACATTTCAAGAGTAATGTACTTTGTATTACCAACATTAATAGGAATATTGTTATGGAAATGGTGATATGGTATAAGAGCCTGGTAGCACACAATACAACAACAATGACAATATAACAAGTTACATTTTAATCTAAAATTCTAGGTTCCTTTCAATGGACTGCAGATGGCCAGTTTCAACTGCTAAGTTATGAATGGTACATACATTATGAGTCTAACTCAGCTCTGAATGTTTCTGATGAACCTGCATCAGAGTTAGTTTCTATATCTTGAACCTTATTAATCACCTGCTTTCATTCTTAAAATGCAACATTTTGGAAACTGACTTTGTCTTCAAGCAAGGGATATCAGCATTGTACTGACCCTTCAGTGTTTGAAGCCAGAGATGGAACGGGTTTCCAAAATGCTTGGTTTAAAAAATAAACCCTCATGATGGTAAAGATCCAAGAAATAAAATAACTAATTCAGATGTTTTGTTATTCCAATATTTCCACAAGTGAGGTGCTTTTAATAATTCAATATTTTACCAAAATTTGTCTAGAAAACAATTAATTTTGATGCACGAAACCAAGATTTCATTCAATTTTTATCTGACATTACAAAAAATAATTATATCCATAATGATATAGTATTGTGCACAGCCCTAAATATGATACGTTTCATGGCAGCAGAAATAAAGAGTGTATATTTTTTGCAATATATTACTATTCAGATGTGTTGTTACAAGTGTACAACATGCTGATAACATGTACATATCTATGTGTTCTCTTTCTATATGTATATATAATATTTTTTACATATATTTCCATCCAACAAATGGAGAGTAGACTCCACATATACTGAACAGAAAGAGCATGGAAGATGTCGCGAGAATGTTGCCACACAAACCCAGTGAACAAAGAGCAGCCAACCGAATGTGAAACCAACAATCAAGAGTGGGAACTCTTATATCTTGTCCCACTAGAATGTGCTTTACAAAGACAGGTTCACAAAGCACCAACATGCATCATTTTGTGAACAAATGGGGAAAATGTACAACATTTTAAGGCCTTGAAAAAGAGATGTAGTGTTTTAAACAAAGTGGCCAAAAGTACACGTAATAAGGGACCATATAATTGTTGCATCCGATGGGGCAGTCGCACAAGTGGGTAGGCGGTGGCAGGGCAGGCATTAGTCATTCTGAGCAGGTGGTGTCCCATTCAGGTCAGAACCAGGTGTCTGTGGACTTGGACCATTGTCAGCAGGTGTTGGACTGCGACCAGAGCTACTGGTGCTGCTTAGAGCCATCCGTTTCATCTTTTGGACCACAGTAGTTGCAAGGTATGCTTGCTGGAATCAGTGACATTTTAATCAATCAGGTGTAGCTGATCACAATTTCACAAACTCTCATTTTTCCATTTGTTATATTAAACTTACATGCAGTCTCACTCTAATACATTTGCTTGACATTAGGTATCATGCCATGGCATTATTAAAGAGGAGAAGGAGAAGGATAAGGCATTGTTTCCATGTTCAGTGAACAGTCACCTTTAGAGTCAAAGTAAATGTACATTGCACTTAATATAAAAAAATAAATTACCAGTGAACTCTCCTCAGTTAACTCATGCTATTAAACTCTGGGCATGACTAATAAAAGCATCTTCTAAAATTTAAGGGTTTCCTAGTGAATGTTTGAACCAAATCTATATCCATCCCTATGTAACTCATGGAATGTTCTTGTCTCTTTTGCTATAAGAATTTGTCAGAAAGTTGGTTATAACATTCTTCTAGGTAACTCTTCAAGCATGCATATTTACATACAAACCCACTTGCTACAGAACATTGGTATTACATTATGATGTCATATTGGACCATATGATACTTAAGAGGCCCATGGGCTACTCCAATACTTTTGAAATAAATGTAGATCAGTTTTTCTTCAGATTTGTTCCATTATGTGATATTAAAAACACTATTCTTTTTACAATCGCATGGCATTCATAAGATCGATTTCTTCTTTCATTATGAACGTCAAGAAGTGAAAAATGATAAACCATGACCAGGCAGCTAAGATTTTAATGAGTAGATCTTAATATAATGTGATAGTAATCCCATAAACACAGGAACAATAAGAGTGGGCATGTCCCTCAAAAATGTTCTTAGTCACATCACTTAGCACTTCACTTCTAATATAATTAGAGGAAGAAAAGTGAAACTCAAATGCTAACTAATAAATACAATTTGTATGTACAAATAATTCTGACATCAGGTATGTGTAGTTATGCCTGTAGTAGGCCAAAATATTTACTGAAGGTAAAGAAAACGTGTGATACCAAGCCATAAAGGCGTAAAAGGAGAGTGGAGACAAAATTATATACTCTCTTAACCTCAATACTACTTGCACATGGATGTATTAAACCTCACTCTGTGGCTATGTTCACCCCAGGATAAATACCCTTGTTACTCATTATACAATAGTGGGCATAGTGATGAAGAGAAAATTCTAATGTCCATACCAGGGATCGAAGTATTCATCCAACTCACAGCCAGTCTTGTTTTATTGACATACCCTTCATGACTCACACTCGCCACAATATTGCACATATGAAAGTTTCACAAACCTACAAACCTAAGCAGGTAACAGATCACTATGAGGCATACATGAATGGAAGTTATATAGAGGGTGAACTGCAGTCATACATAATATATAATCTTAATATTAGTTCTAGAAAGACAAAAATATACAAAAAAGATGTTTCAATGCATTTTTTATTACACTGGACAACAGAATAAACAAACTCTCCATTGCCAGCAGCCTATGGACAGCCAAACACATTTTTTTTGTTTCTCTGTGCCCATGAAAAATGTGAATTCTGTGGTCTTCTTTGCCCTGAACACTCCTGACATGTGACACATACCGTAGCCTACTTTAACAAAAATGTTTATGACAAAGCCTTTGTCTTTTCCTCCAGGCATGTGGAGTTATGAGATTACACTGGTGAAGTATTACAACTCATTCTCAATTGTATGAAAGCTGCTGTGACTGTTGATTGGTATAAGGCTTACATCTCCTTCATATGATAATTTGTGCATGCAATAATGTTGAGTTTTGTAAGAAAATCTATGTTTAGGTGGTACACAATAGCCAAAGAGTAGGTCAAGAAAGGAAACAGCAGTCGAGGCCAGAAGTGTGTGACATTTAAATCTACGCAAGCTGAGGCCAGGAGGAGTTATAGCTTGAGAACATTTTGACCAGATTAACAAAAACTTCCATAAAGATGATAAAAATGTGTTCCTTCTGTAGTGTACAAAAACTATGTAGTACATATCAAAAGCATGCTACATTCAACAATTTATTTCAGTGTACATTGTAACTATCAACAATCACACATTCCAGTATATATACATTAAACTGACATGTTGTTCTAATTATTTAAAAATATATTAGGTTTATGTAATAATTCTTAACTCATCACAGAATAATAGATCAACATCTCCCATCTATCATACTGCATTTGCCTATGTTATTCTTAGTGTGTGGTATTTTATTGTGTCAGGTACCTTTTATAGGTGGATCACAACAAAAAGTTGCAAAAAGCACCTATTACCATTGTCACTGTCTGTGCGCCTGCATATAAAACTCGGCTCCTGACTGATAGATATTCATAAAATTTATATTGGAACCTCTTAAGTTAAATATGTGTAGCTGTTTCAGTTTTTATCATAATCAGTAAACTGGAAGTTGTGGTTCAACTGAATTTGTTCATATTCTGGCCCAGATATTTCTGGTAGCATTTTGGATGGAGTATGTGAACTTCAGCCAGTCACAGTGGCCGCATGTTCTGAGGTGTGGGCCTTGTGTGCTTGGACACTTGGATCATGGGTTTGAATCCCACTCAAGCCATGGATGTTTGTCCGCGTTTTTCTGTTGTGCTGTCCTGTGTGCAGGTAGAGGCCTTGCAACGCACTGATCGCTTGTCCAAGGAGTCCTACCAAATGTCTGATTATTGAAATCTCTTAAAAAAGAGGCCCTATGCAACTAAGAGTGCACAGACATGTATGTCACATAGAAATCAATGTTAAAACAAGGACTCAAGAAACCGCGCTAAGACAAATGAGTGGTACAGATGATCAGAGTCCACAATAATTATTAATTATTAGTTTTATATAAGCAAAAAAAGATACTCTGAGCAGTGAACATCTGATTGTAATAAACAGACAATAATGCAAAGTACAGTATGTTTGGTGCCAGTGGAGACCAGTGTTCAATTCTTGGTGAATTAAAGTGAGATTCATGGTGGACAAAATGGCAATGGAGCAGGATTTTCTTCTAGCTCCTTGGTTTTCCCTGCTAATCATCATTCAACCAGTGCTCCATACTCAACTATCATCTCCCCACAAGGTGTGTGATAGCCTTGAACATACCCTTGGTCTTTAATTAGGCAGCCTGCACTTCTCAGTCACGTGAATTTTTTATAATTCAATCTTTGCTGGTGATGCGTATTTGTATAGTAAGTGATAAACCAGGCAACTTTAGGCTGACAGCAGATTTCTTTATGAGAATGTTGATCCTTAATATGCAACCTCATATTCCATTTCAGGAATAGCAAATGGTTATCTCTTTATTGGTTAGGGTTAATTTAAAAAGGTGGTGATGTATCATGGGATTACAAAGATGTTTGACCCGTGAGACATTCCAAAATCCTAATACATAAAAAATCTCAAAGGAAAGAATTTTGACCTGTCTACAAAAAGGAATAAGAGGGAGTTAAATACAGTTTGAAGCATTCTGTATTGAAATGAGACTGCATCCACACATTAAACACAACATGGTTATTTGCTACCATGCCATTCACACCAAGACCATGTTCTACAAACACATCAACAGCAGTGCCACAGACATCTGCCATGCTCAATGTATCTAATGTGCTACGTGCATTTCCAAATTACCTAAGCCTTCAATTCCTGTGAATCGAGCTGATCAATTTCAGGACAATGTCAAGATACACACATCTACTGTGAATCATTATAAAATATATTACTAGACTACATATTAACCATGTCAAAGTTCCCATAAATATCATTGTGACCCAAGAGACGGTTTCATGATGTGGTTACGAGATCCACCACTGGTAGAGACTTCCACTGAAATACCAGCTTATTCAGCTGTTTTGATGCTTAACTTGTCTGTACTTCATATGCTTCACACCCAAATGCTGCATGATGATTTATAGTACAAATTTAAACTGAGCTCATATCTCCACTAGTACATTCTGTCATACACACATGGTTCAGAGTAGCTCTTAAATGTCTAATATAGCAATAAATTTAATAATTTAACTAAAATTATTATTTCACTTATAAGACTTAGTTCTAGTAAAACTCAGTGTATAGCATTCCTTTGATATGATGGTTCTAAGTATGCATTATCTAATAATGCATAATGACAGACTACTGGCTAGCAAACGTGAGCAGCTGCCATTCCACTAAGATAAGCACTTGTAGCTTTGTGCAAAGCTAACTTAAGCATTCCCAAATATAATTAACATTAAAAGCTTTGCTTACAGCTATCCTGATATACTGAGATTTGAACTATGTACTTCTTAGCATTCAGAGATTATGTACAGCTTAAATGTTCTGTCATGCACTCATTTTACAAATGTTCAGTTAACTAGTTTGTGTGTTATGCATTTGAAAAGTGTATGTAAAGTGACCTCTAGTGATCGGAATTCTGAGTAAACCTTCTTAAGACAGTTGGAGGAAAACAAACGAAATGGTGCCGACAAAAATGAAGTAGGTCCAGTGAACATATTTAACTTTATAGTTCATACAAGAATACTTCTGATGCTCCTAGACTTGAATCTGTGAAGTACGTGGCAAGGCAACCAGTCAGCTCAAAAATTTATGGCCTAGCTGTAATTAAAGTCCCACTCAACCTACGAAAAATTCATTGTTAAGATAGACAGTCTTTTTTCAGATCCTAGATTTAATTTCAATGTTTCATTTCTAGCAACAAGAGGTGTGTGTGTATTATATTATAACATTGTAAATAACAATGTATGTCAGTTACACCCAGTAATGTTACTTAGGTTGGGTAAGTCAAATGGTTGTCAAACTAAATGCAATACAGTATTAACATCTGCACTGTAATGTTAACTTACTGAGGGCCATGTTTCATTACCACATCCTAGGTAAGTTGCTGCCATACACCCATGGTTATAATATTGCATCCAGTCATGTCAGGTTTTCATAATTTTTAAGAATATAAATATCAACATTCAGCTGAAATAAAGCCACACTCTCTGAAGATGACAGAGTGTAACAACTGCTTAAAGTACTTGATGAATTAC